CGTCTGCTTCATAATACAAAACTTGAATTATCAAATTGTTTCTTTGGTACTATTCGAAGGAACTCTTTTCTCAATAATGTGAAATCTTGTTCCATTAGGTTCGGCAATAAAATATTATACATCAATCAGCGATAAAGACAGTCGAGATAATCGACAGAGACTCCAGGAATCGTTCGCTTCATAACGTAAAACTTGAATTCTTGGGGCTTATTTAGGAGTAATTATCAAAATGTTTCTTTCGTACTCTATTCGTACATTTTGAGATCCGCCATAAAATATTGCAAATCAATCGGCGGTAAAGACAGTCGAGATAACAATCGGCATAGATTCCAGGAATCGTCTGCTTCATTATATGAAACGAACGGACGTTTATATTCCACGCACGTGGCAGGTACATTAATCGACGTGAAATTCATTTTGCAGGGACTAATTTGAATCAATTGTAGGGATATTTAATCTCCCCAGAGTAGCGTGCAATCTTGCCGAGTGATTGATCATCGGCTAGCGACTCTAGGGACATTGTATGAAACCGATAATCAATTCGATCCGTGCCGATATTTCACTTGTGACAAAAGAAATGAAACGTTTTCATTATCTGCATTTCTGAGCCCGCGGTGCTGACAGATACGTAGTACTTTCGACTAATAAGAAAAATCCACCGCCCTCGGGAATATGACTTTCGGCCTGATTGTAAGACTTCGACTTCTCACAATGAAAAACCGTCAATTGCTCGAACGTTAATCACGTAATGAAAAGAAAAGTCGTAAAGAATCCCCGTTCAGATTTCCTGCAGTTTAAGGTGATATGAAAGAGAGCCTATATATATATATCTGATAAGTCAAATTGTTGGAAAAAGTATTCTCCGAATTGAGTGTACCAATTTCTTTGAAATTTTACCACGTGGATATGGAGGCCCTAAAGTAGATCCTGAAACTCATGAAATTTAATTTTTCATTAAGAATTTATTTACTTATCATGAACTACAACTAACGTGGCGTGGTCCGACTCGTTTCAAATTTTACCACGTGGATATGGAGACCCTAAAGTAGTCCTGAAACTCATGAAATTTCATTTTTCATCAGGAATTTATTTATTTATCATGAACTACAACCAGCATGGCGTGGCCCGACTCGTTTCAAATTTTACCACGTGGATATGGAGACCCTAAAGTAGTCCTGAAACTCATGAAATTTAATTTTTCATCAGGAATTTATTTATTTATCATGAACTACAACCAACATGGCGTGGCCCGACTCGTTTCTAATTATACCAGGTGTATATGGAGGTCCTAAAGTAGTCCTGAAACTCATGAAATTTCATTTTTCATCACAAGTTACTTAGCGCCTTTCATATCCTCCTAACAATATGTATCTATATATAGTGTCCTGTACTGATAGTTAAGACAAAAATTGCGACTTCTCAAAGACGATTAATAAATGTCATATGTGTCATCTGATATGTGAAACGTATAAAACGGAAAAAAAAAAAAAGATCAAAATTACAGTCAATTGCTTTCGTTTCTATTTATACCCACTTTCAATTACGTGATGGGCTGTAAGATCTTTCTAGGGGAATCGTTAACCTCTCGTCCCTCCTCTAGGTTATGTCGTCGTTGAAGGGTCAACTCGAGATTTCTCCCTCGATTAATCCCTAGGATTCCCCAGAAATAAATCGGTGTGTATCGTTAAATCGTGATGAATAGCCGCTAATGTCAAGGGGAGACCTAACGGTGGACTTAGAGACTTGGATTTTATTACCCGTACGCATTCCCATTCGCCACGGTAATAAGTTTTCATAGCTGGTTCATTCCTGCTGAATTAATTCAGAAGTACAGTATATGTATCAAGAAAGCCATCCACTACGTATTTTATTATCTAAGAGCATTAAAGGATGCCTTCATGATGGAAATTTAATTTCTGCCGATCTCTAATTGGTTTGCGCAATAGATCCAGCCTTAATTTTGTTTCACCCCTTGGAACACGGAACCATCTCGACATATGGGCGAAATTCCTCTGTCCGTGCGGGCAATATTGAACCAAACGTCGGACGCCAGTAGCCAAAGGGTCAATCGTCATTTTTTCTCTATGAGAAGTTGTACTCTCTTTTCTAGGTTAGGTTGTCGCGAAAGGATCATGGAACTTATAGAAATGGAAAAGACATGTTAGAGCGAGGATGTCCCGAGGAGGTTAGAGAGGCAACCTTCCATCCCTGAACTTTTCCGGAAGTGCTTACTACCTACGTGTAGAATGTCAGTATTTCTTTATCTGTAACAATGGCATTCCAAATATAATTTTAACAATTAAAGTAGCAACGGAGAAATGATATTATAAATATAATTTAGCAATGAAGAAATGATATTACAGATATAATTTAGCAATGCAGGTAGCAATGAAGAAATGATATTACAAATATAATTTTAACAATTAAAGTAGCAACGAAGAAATGATATTATAAATATTATTTAGCAATAAAGATAGGAATAAAGAAATGATATTACAAATATAATTTAACAATTAAGGTAGCAACGAAGAAATTATATTATAAATATAATTTAGCAATGCAGGTAGCAACGAAGAAATGATATTACAGATATAATTTAGCAATGAAGAAATGATATTACAAATATAACTTAGCAATGACGGTAACAATGAAGAAATTGTATTACAGATATAATTTAGCAATTAAGGTAGCGATGAAGAAATGATATTACAAATGTAATTTAACAATTAAGATAGCAACGAAGAAATGATATTATAAATATAATTTAGCAATTAAGGTAGCAACGAAGAAATGATATTACGAATATAATTTAGGAATGAAGAAATGATATTAGAAAGATAATCTCTTCGTTGCTACGAGTAAAGAAATGAACTTGGACCAATTCAAAGAATGAAGCAAAAAATGAGTAATTTTGTAGAATTTATCCGATTCGAGTTTAGAGAACTGTCCCCGGGAGCTTGAATTTGTCTAAAATGTGGACTTTTTCGCTGAATGTAGAGCCGAAGGATCCCTTCAAATCTACCCAGCTCTGACCCTCGATCCACAATAGTAACGTCCTCTCAATTTCCATGAGCTCTACCGAAGGGGTCACCCCGAGATTTCTCCGGGAGTTAATCCCGCGGATTCTGCACCGAGATAGATCGGCGCGCTTCGTCGAGTCGTGACGAATAGTTCGCGGGAAGAGAGGGCGCTGCGGAGGAGAATTTCGGTATTTGTCCTCGTCCCCGCGTCTCTGGCAGAGGGTGCTCCTGTAGGGCTGCCGCGTCCCTTTGTCGCTCCCCCTCGACCCTCTCGTCACATAACCTCGATTCTTTCCACCCCCCGATGCTCGGCTCGCCCACGCGGGCGTTCGAATGGCTCGTCGGATGTCGGAGAGGCCGAAATACGATATCGCGCGCAATCGAGCCTCTCGCCGAGAGGGTTAGGGTCGGGCCCGATCGTTAGCCTAACCTCACTTTCTTTCGAGTGCCCGCGGGCCACTTCGCGTCGGGTCTTGCGCCCTCAATGGCCGCTATTATGCCCGCCTGCTATCACTTGGCACGACGTTACGGAATTTCGGGAATTAGGGGGCCCGCAGTTTGAAAACGCTAACCTGGCTTGCTTCGGAATACGCAATGGCGTAGACCAGCCATTTTTTTGCTCGATATCCTTTCGGTTCCTAATAGGGGACATCAATTAGTTTCTTGATACCACAATACGCAGTGGCGTAGAGTGTATGTTTGTTTGTTTTTTTTTATAATTTATTTCTAATAGGGGACATTATGACGCCGAGCCATCATGCTCGGAACGAAAATCCAGTTTTTGGAATAAATAGTCGGTATATAAAAAAAAAACGATTACAGCACAAAATTAGCACATAATTTGCTCTTCAATTTGGTGTACTTGTTTTTAACTATCTGTCTTGTTTGAGACGGGAACGTGATGGCTTGACGATGAGCTAGCACGCTCGGAACGAAAATCGAGTTTTTGGATAAAATGGTCGGTGTAAAGAAAAAACGATTACAGCACAAAATTAGCACATCATTTGCTCTTCAATTTGGTGTACTTGTTTTTAACTTTCTGTCTTGTTTGAGATGGGAACGTGCTAGGACGGCCAGACTGAAATTTGAAATTTCGGAAAAATGGTGGGGGTACATAATTAATTAATTCAGCGCAAAATTAGCACGTAATTCCTCTGTATTCAGAAATCGTGAATTGGGATGTTGCCGTGCTAGCTTGACGCACATGACATTAATTATAGTTTCACTAGCTGTAAAGATGATGAGTTTCTTGATAACACTATACAGTCGGTTTATTTGGTTTGCGCAGCTATCGGGGAGGAAGGATTGCAATTCCTTTAAATTAAACTAATTTATAGCCAAATTGTTATATTCATTCGTTGGTAATAATCCTTGTTAAGAGACTAATATAAGACATTCGAAGAGAGGCGTGGACAGTGACGGTCATGAATGCCTCCTCTGCAGATACGGCATCGCCTGTGCAGGATGGAAGGGCATTGATGTCTCCCAGTGTACATTGTGTCATATATTACAATATGATATGGATATTGCACATGAAGCATTGCAGGAAATTTAAACGGCATTATTATTCAAGCTTTATAAAGCATATGTTTCATGAGAAAATGACCATTAACCGTGTACGTTTATTTAGTTTGCGCAGCTATCGGTGCGGGAGGATTGCACTTCACCATCGAGCCGCAAGATGTCGTGGTGGAGCATTATTATTTAAGCTTTATAAAGCATATGTTTCATGTAGAAAATGACCATTAACCGTGTACATTTATTTAGTTTGCACAACTATCGGTGCGGAAGGATTGCACTTCACCATCCAGCTTTATAAACCATATATTTTGAGTACAAAATGACCGTTAACCGTGTACGTTTATTTGCTTTGCGCAGCCATCGGTGCGGGAGGATTGCACTTCACCATCCAGCTTTATAAACCATATATTTTGAGTACAAAATGACCGTTAACCGTGTACGTTTATTTGCTTTGCGCAGCTATCGGTGCGGGAGGATTGCACTTCACCATCGAGCCGCAAGATGTCGTGGTGGAGCAAGGAGGAGCGGCGAGATTGGACTGCAGAGCGAAAAGCATCTTCGGCGAACCCACCATTCAGTGGAGGACCGACGATGGCCAGCTGGTAACATACATCGGAGATAGCTATCGGTACGAATCTTATGCTCCGATACATTTCGATACCGAGGAATATCCCCATTTACTTCCCTCCTTCCTTTGGCTTCCGTAGCTTTCATCGAGGATAGCCGCTGGCACGGACTTCCTGCTTCGGCTGGAATATGCTTATCGAACGGCCCCGGTTTTCATTCCTTTCATGTCTCCGCTTCGTGAAAACATTAATTGATATATTAAAATCTACCCAGATAGGCAAAAGTGACGCAACATTTGCATGAAATTTCCCATCTAGATCGTAACATCGGATAAGATTTTCGACGTAAGAGAAATTAATTCCATTTCGCTTCCGCAGGTCACAACTGGCCAACGGATCTCTTTACATCAGCAGCGTTTATTCCGGCAGTCCAGAATTGACCGGAAGTTACCAGTGCTTGGCATCTGTCGACAATGTCGGGGCCATTGTCTCTCGCACCGCCACCATCAAACTTGCCAGTTGGTTCCCCTGATGATGAATTAATTACCTAATTAAGCTCAGCTACGAAAGCGACGTAACTTAAATTACTCGCCCCTAGATTGTCCATTTAACTAGAAAACTATATCGATGCAATTTAATCCTCTCTGAGTGGACTATTAGTGCGTAAGGCTCCAGTGAAATTATAAATTTCATGTCTTAACAGTGAATTAATATATATTTATCACAAATGTCTAACTTGATCTAACGTCAGGTTATAGTTTTGTAAAGTTTCATGGGGAAATTAATACACACTAAACCTATATACATATATAATTAAAATATCATAAATTTACGAGATTATCTTTTTAAGACTGTTCACTGGGGAAAAGAAAAAAAGTTGGTTGGCTCAAAGATACGTGCATTGTTACAACGAAATCCTGCGTCCAAGGAAATGTCGGATTGAGTTAAGAAAGTTTCTTTAAATTATATAAATTGTTTTTGCAATTATAATATATATATATATAGGACGGGGGTAACAATACATATATTTGTGTCGGTCAACTAACCTTTTTTCTCAGTGTAACCTTATCGTTGAAGTCTAATGAATATTTTTCCTTCAAGGTCTACCAGGGTTCGACAAAGAACCTCAAGATACCATGGTCTATCCAGGACAGATCGCGTATCTTAGTTGTGCTTTGCCGACGTCGTCTAACCTCTTGAGGATTCAATGGCTCAAGGACGAGCACCCGCTTTTGCTGGACGAAAGCCGCATGACTATCCTGCCATCAGGTATACTTTTCTTCCATCTACGAGGAGGACCAAAAAACCTGGGAGCCAGATCTTTATGTCGGAGTCTTCCACATTTGCTTCTCCATTTTTTTTTTTTTTTTTCTTTCTAACTTACTAGAAAGCCACCAAGTGCTTACATACATTTTCTCTATACTTGAAGAACTGCAATTTTTCACGCAGTTAAGGTGATCTCGCTGAAAAATGTATTTGGCTCGAAACTCTGCCGAGTTTCTTGATACCAGAGATGAGCGGGGAGATATTTTACGCCATTATTTGAAAGGGAGGCGCGGCCCCCTGGCGCCCTCTGCGCTCTTACACCTCTGTAAAAATTGGAACTACTTTCAAAGGGGAGAAGTCTTCCTGATCGGTAAAACAGGGTATACGTGGGTGCCACGACGTAATCTCAATCGTTCACGCATAACAACTTTATTTCGTATTCCTAGTCTTCTTTCCCAACCTACGTTGATGTTTTTAACTAACTAATTGTTTAATTATTTTAGGAGCCCTGGAGATCGATGAGGTTAGAGCGCAGGATGTTGGATCGTATCGATGTAATGCAAGTGGCTTCGGACAGTATAGGCTTAGCAACAAGGCGCAGCTCACATTGTTAACCAGTGATATAGGTGAGTTCTCGAGCTCGGCTTTATCTTAATATTTATATTCAATAGAGGAATTGTTTTTGTATATCATTTAATTATTCATTATTATAGATCAAGGACAAACTCGTCCAGTGTTCATCGCAAGGCCTACGCAACAAGTTGCTGTCGAGGGATCGAACATCACTCTTGAGTGTGCAGCAAATGGAAATCCAAAGCCAGAAATTCTGTGGCTAAAAGATGGAGTCGCTGTTGATCTGTTAGCACTCGATTCTAGGTATAAATCGACAGGATTGATAAATATGATGATTCCCTTTAAAGATACAAAATTACTGTTTTTTAAATCACGATTTTTTTGTAATATTTCCATTATTCAAATAAACTCGATTAGCAGATTAGGTTAAATCGATATTAATTAAAAAAAACTATCATAACTTTATTCCGTAATGATATACGATCGATATAATATATGATCTGCTAATTTCCATTTTGTACATTAAAACATCTGCAAATATTGCTATAGAAAAAAATTTTTTTTTTATACGGGCTAGTACATTTAGTTATGAATCGACATGGCAATCAAAAAGCATCCAAATTAGTATTTTTTATTAAACATTATAATAGTTAAGCTATGTTTAATATGTTTACTGTTCGCCTGGAGATACTTTATAATATTTTCATGTTCATGTACATCAGCATGAACAGTGCGATCACTTTGTGTAGTGCTTAGAATCGTGATTTAAAAAAAAAGGAATCAGTTGATTAAAATCAACTATTTTAATCATGATTTTAACCAAGTGATTTAAATCAACTCAACCCTGCAAACCGATGCATTATTTTGGTTCATACAAATATCTTTTGATTCATCGTCACAGAGTATTAAGTACTTATAATTGTTGGCTTCGAGAACTAATGTTTTGAATGCATTTCTTGGACAAGGTATCACAGAGTTGCAGCATCCAGTTTAAATATCTCTGATATTCGAGAGATGGATCATGGATCATATCAGTGTCGAGCAGAGAATGACGTCGATACCGATGACGCAGTCGCCGAAGTTATAGTCCAAGGTAATTCCATAATATTTAAACTTACAACCATCTTCATTTCAACAGACCGTAAGGCAATAATTATGTAATTAACTTGCCGATTACTCTTATTATTAATCTAAATAAGCAATCTTCGAATTTATAGTACCACCAAAGTTTATTAAGAAGCCAGAGGACAAAGTAGCTAACGAAAATCAAGACCTTGAATTGGAATGCGAAATTTACGGCAAGCCAGAGCCGAAAGTTACGTGGCTGAAAAACGGAGAACGCATTAATTTCAGTACTTATTGGCAGCTTGTTAATGGGTACGTAAATATTTTAATTGCAAAAGTAAAAGCTTTCAAAGGTGTGGGTAATAATAATGATATATCTCCTGTGTAATATTGTAAATTAGTTGTTTACAATTGACTCTTTCTTTTAGTTACAATTTAAGGATCAACGGATTGCTGCCAATCGATGCAGGAATATTTCAGTGCATCGGCGTGAACCCTGCTGGTAGTGTTCAGGCTTCGGCAAGACTGACAATTAACCAGCCAAGTGAGTCTTTAAAGAGCGTTACGCATAAAAAAGTTAGAAAGAAAAAGATCATGAAGACAATTAGTTCCTAAATATGAGGGAAATCAAGCATATGCTCGAGCGCCTCCTCAATTTTTGTCCAAAATCTTCTCCTGGAATTTATTTTAATAACATATTCCATTTATTTTTCATTCTGATTATTAAATCATGGAAGTATTTCTTTCTTTTACTCCTTTAAGATGTTATCGTACCTAGATATCAGGTTTGTACTAATTTACTTTCACGTTAACCATTTATAGAATCATGTTTTTATATCTGCGATAAGCTCGAGTATATTCCAAAATGAATTGATTTTTTTCATTGTTTTCCCTTAATTGATTTCTTTTACTTATATTCATTTTATCATTGAAAAGGGAGCTGTAAATTTTCTATCTAGTTTATTGAGTTTCACTTCGTTTCAAGTTAATTTTCTTTACCATTTTTAATTTTAATTTTTCTCCTCTTACGTTTCCCCCCATTCCTACTAACTACATTGACTGTTAACCAACCGGGAAAAAAAAAAAAAACCCTGAAAATATTAGAGAAAGCAAACTCCCACAAGTCGACGACTCCGAAGCCGTTGCCAAAAAAGAAATTATTGTTGCATCGACAATTGTACAATACTACCTGGCAACATCCAAGTACACTATTGGGTCACACGCTCTCAGCGTTCACTCCAAATCCCCCATTATCCATAAGCCCTTCCGATGATCCAGCAGATCTTCCAGGATCCATCGGTAACCCTAATTCCCTTTACGATCCAAAGTCCCATTTTCTAGATGACACCGAAAGCCTGGAGTCCATCGATAGCAGCTTACCAACTGCTCCAAGGAATCTAAGTCTGGTCATCGTCAAGACAAGATTTGTGACTCTACGATGGCAGGAACCAGAAAGCACAAATGGAGACATTTTGAATTATTATATTTATTACAAGCAGGAGGGTTCGCAAAGGTAACGAGTTCCATTTGCAGCTCCGATATTAATAAAAATTTTGCATATTGTTACACTCTATGATGCATTTCTTAATACACTTTCTGGCCACTGAAAGCATCGTAGTTCTGCTTTCATTTCTTTGTTTTTTTTTAAATTGCAGAAAATATTAATACTGGATTTTGCGTTTTAATTAAAATAATCTAAGTTGTGTATTCTTAGTCAATGTTAATGAGTCATAGTGATGTAATTCTTAATAAATTTTCTTGGTTTAGAGAAAGGGTTATCACTACGCCACCAAATCAGTTGGAAGCAGTTATCGCAGGCTTGCAACCTAGTGTGACGTACCAGTTTCGTGTGGCAGCACATAATTCTCGTGGAGCAGGAGTGTCCAGTGAAGTTCTTCATGTTACTACCCATTCAGAGGTATGATACTTTCCATTGTCATTGTTACGATGACAAATACATATCAGAAATGTAAAGTAATAATAAGTGTAATATAATATAACTCTATGTAATGTAACACCTAAAGTGTAAACGTAATATTGTTTAACTTCCTTATTTAATCCTTGTTTAACCCTTGCCATATTAGTTAACAATTTCCCAGTTGTCTTAATAAAGCTTTATCGTTAGGCTGGTGTACCAGGACCTCCGACAAATGTAAAAGGCCATGCACTAAGCAGCGTAAGCATCGCTTTATCCTGGGAAGAACCACAAGTGGCCAATGGAAAAATATCAAAGTACCTCATAACATATACAGAGGTCAGTAATACTTGTTAATACTTTTCTGTAATAAAGATTTCTCTAAAGTTTTATATTTTCCGGTATAAGTTAAGTAATTGTAAAAATCTGATCATTTTAGGGGGACAATGAAGAAAAAAGTATTGAGACTACAGGAATGGCTTTCGAATTGGTGGAACTGATACCACACACTACATACAGTATCTGGATACAAGCTGTTAATGAAAATGGCCCCGGTGTACCCAGCGCTGGGACTGTGGTTCGCACTTACAGTGCAGTACCTTCGCAGCCTCCTCATAATGTTACTCTCGAAGCAGCCAGTTCAACAGTAAGACTTCACTTATGAATACAAGTTACCATTCGACTCATTTTTGATGCCTCGATCATCATTATCTGATATTTAAACACATAAGTTTTCCATAACCCGTAGAGTACAAAGCCTACTTTCGAAACTTCTCCTTGTTTTAATTCATCCATTGGAACCACTATTGTTTTAAACTAAGTAGCTTTGTAGCGAAGTCGAATTCGTAGGTAATCTATTAAGATGTGAAATTTCCATTCGCAGAGTATCATTATAAGATGGGAGCCGCCTTTGGAGGGTCAGAATGGAGTTATCACGGGATACAAAATTCGCCATCGGAAACAAGATCGTCGGTATCATTCTAGCATTGTAACCACCCAAGGGAATCAACGACTTTATGTCTTGAATGGTTTGGAAAAGCACGTGACGTATCAAGTGCGTATGTGTGCTTTTAATGTCAATGGTACTGGGCCATGGACTGAATGGATAACCGTGGAAACATACGAGAACGATCTGGATGAATCGAAGGAACCCAATGCTCCGAGTAACCTTAGAAGTAAGCTCAAGAATACCCTAATCGATGTGTATCGTAGAGTGCATTAAGTGAAATTAGTTATTTTACTTTCATTGTAATACTGTTTGTTGAGCCAGTGCATTCTCTTTTACAGCTAAAGCAAACTCAGATTCGATAGCAGTTTGGTGGAGTCCTCCGAAGGACCAAAGCGTTAAAGTCAGAGGATACATCATCGGTTGGGGCATAGGCTTTCCAGATGTATATACTAAAGTTCTGGATGGGAAGCAGCGATATTATATCATTGAGTCTTTAGGTACTGATCGGGCATTTACCGCTTATTTAATGGATTTTAAATTAAACAATATATGGATATCGTTAATACATGTACTCCTGGTAACGATACCAAAAACTTAATTTATCACCATTAAAGTAACGTCCTCTGAGATGTTTTCGTGAAAATCTTAAAAGTGCGTTTTTGCTGTGAAATTGCGCAATTCTTCTTTCAAGAATTGAAAGAATAAACTATTACAACAGTATCGGTCCATGATAGAAGCCTGTAACTTTGTACGGCATGCCTATTTTGTTATGCCAAATGTACTGTATTTCATTAGCGAAGAATCATTTCTGTTGTTTGATTTTTAGTTTCGATTGAATACCGTTTAATATAATAAACCCTTATGGTTAACAAAAAATCGCAGAATTTTATAACACTAGGTTCTTACTCTGCCTGACGATATACAGCAACTACTTTCAATTTCGATCCCATAAAATAATTAAAATGCTGTGAACGAATTTTACTTTAATTTTCTAGAGCCCATGTCGGAGTACGTAATCTCGCTTAGAGGAAGGAACGAAGTCGGTGAAGGGACTCCAGTTTATGCAAATGTAAGGACCACCGAGAGGTCTGCAGTCGAGTCAGTTGTACCATTAATTCCACCAGTAGGGCTCAAGGCAATAGTTCTTTCTGCTACCACCGTTGTGTTATATTGGACAGATACAAGTCTTCCAAAAAGTCAAGTAAGTAAAAAGTCAAGTACCATCACTTGATGGTACAATGGCGGACATGAATGCCTCCCCTGCAGATACGGCATCGCCTGTGCAGGATGGGAGGGCATTGATGTCTCCCAGTGTACATCTAAAGCTCTACTGAACGAAGCGTACTTTCATAACGCCAATCATGGGTCCATGATAATTATGTTATACGAGTCTTCCAAAAAGTCAAGTACCATCACTTGATGGTACAATCGCGGACATGAATGCCTCCCCTGCAGATACGGCATCGCCTGTGCAGGATGGGAGGGCATTGATGTCTCCCAGTGTACATCTAAAGCTCTACTGAACGGAATGTACTTTCATAATGCCAATCATGGGTCCCTGATAATTATCTCTTATCTGAGAAATAAATATCCGTCTAATTGAAGTGCCGAGCATTGTCGTTAAGGTGAAGTTTATCAAGAAATACTATTAATCCATTATTTTCTCTTTCCTTTCAAGTATGTAACCGATACTCGGTTTTACGTTGTACGTTACACCCCGTACTACCATGGCAGCGTTCCACGATACAAGTACCACAACGCAACCGATCTGAATTGCATGATTCAAGATCTAAAACCCTACACTCAGTATGAGTTCACCGTAAAGGTCGTCAAGGTATAAGATATTAGCGTATTACAAATATTAATAAAAGCCTCGTGTTATTTCTTCGTAGTTTTAAGTTGTTCGTTCACTGAAATGGATGGAGAAATGTTGGTTGCGAGGAATTAAGAGAGGTTGTTTGATTAGGGTCGAAGGGAGTCCCCGTGGAGCATGGTGGTTCTTAATCAAACTCAAGAAACTATACCTTCCTCACCTCCTCGTGATCTTACTGTACAAAGTGTCGACGATCGTCCAACTTCTGTCATGCTACAATGGCAACAACCGAAACAGCCAAATGGACCGATCACTGGTAAGAAATTATTTGATCTATTAAGCTGATATGAAAGAGTCAGCCTATCTATATCTGAGAAGTCAAATCGTTCGTAAAAGTATTCTCCGTATTGGGTGTACCGATTAGTTTAATATTTCACCATGGGAATATGGAAGCCCTAAAGTAGATCCTGAAACTCATGAAATTTCATTTATCATTAAGAATTAATTTATTTATCGTGAATTAATAATGCGCGTTTTCGATGTTTTACGCTTCTTGGAGGCTTAGAATCGAAAATGAAGAGTTTCAGGACCTAGCTTGAACAATTTAAAATACCGTAGAAATGGAATATTGCAGAGTTAGATGGAAAAATATGGAAAATAATTTCCCCAACGATTGCAAGAAAATGCTCGTCTCGGGGGTAACTCCTGTTCTTGGAGGAAAAATTTAGTTGCAGCTAAACGTCACAAATGGCGACGCTGGTCCTAAACAGTCGTTAGAATATTGAAGAAGATCATGAAGGAAGAAAATTAATACGTAAACTTTTTTTTAAAGGGTATATCATTTTTTACTCGACCGACAATACGAAGAAGGACCGGGATTGGCAGTTGGAGGCTGTTATGGGTGACAAAACGGAGTTCATCACGAAGCCTCTCAAACCCAGCACGACTTACTACTTCAAAATACAGGCGAGGAACTCGAAAGGCTATGGACCATTTTCTGCAATGGTGTCTTTCAGAACTCCTCAGAGTAAGTATCCAAAATGACTCGATCCAACCATCAAGCACTGTGTTCTTCAATGTTTTTCAGTGCAACTATTCAAGGCCTCTTATAGTACTTTAGTTCGCAGAGGCATCTTTATGTTCAGATTCTTCTGTCCCTTTTATTTCGTCGTACTTATTCATGAATGTTAATTATTGTATTCCTTTTTTTGCACTTTTCTACGCTAGGCAATGGCTCGGATATCTATGACGAATTGCATGGCCGAGGTAAGATGTTCAGCTTCAACTTTGCCATTATTTCATTATTTATTTATCCTCGGTGATTCGTCCGATTTCCCGAGGATCACTGGCATGAATGTTGTTTGCCTTATTTTTAACTGAATCTTAAAAAATACATTATATTTTCTCAATGTATCACCGTCATTAGTACTTATTTAGTGCCTAATTGTTGTATAACCAGGAAAGTCTGTAGAAATGTTACTACTAACTTATTGAACATAGTGTTTGACGGCTCAAAGAATCTGAAAATATCTGGAAACGTGAGATTCCATTGTCCATGAACAATCTTGAGATGTAACAATGAGATATTTAATAGAGTTATTTTCAACTTTATTACATCCGCATATCTCGACAAATGGAATTTCGCAATTCTGGCCTATTACAAATGAATTCTTTGGCTACTTTATTCTTTTGGTGCAAAGTACTTTTAATGTGTGTCATTTTATGAATCTGTATATGTCTACTGTTCCAACTGAATTAATTTACACGCCAATTGCACCAAAAGGATTAATATGTTTGGAGTAAAAATATATTTTTTCTTCGCACTTTATATATTTGGTATTGGTAACGATTGATCATATATTGTATGTTTGTTTCTACAGATGGACGAGGACTTTCTGGGATGATAATATACATTATAATTGGTTGCTCGATAGTGCTAGCCACTGGTGTGGCTGTAGTCGTTGTGGTAATGTGCTGTAGACGTAACCCAGACTCTCCGGATCGTAAGAAAGGGTATGTATCGACAATCCAAAATTAAATCGCCCTAACATAGAATGTACAAAATTAAAAACTTTACATGGCAACAAGTATTACAAAGAGTATGAACCATTTAATATTACCATCTCAAAAGATTCCAAGTCAATAAATCTAATAAAGTAAATTGTTATAAATTATTTATCAAATGTTGTGCAAACTGCTTCCTTTGATATCGCACTGATTTTGTTCAAAACCTCTTTCGACACAGCCAAACTTAAAAGATTTATACTGGATCATAAAGTGAACTATACATTAATATAAAACGATAAGACTTTGTTTCGATAGTTATTGTTTCGTTGGTTGCAGTTACATGAAGGACTGTAACCAAAAAACAAATATAAAGCCCCCGGATCTATGGATTCACCATGACCAGATGGAACTTAAGGCTTTGGAAAAATCATCGATAAATGGAGAGGCTTCGACCAGTGGAGTGGTCAGCAATACTCTGCCTAGATCTGGAAATCAAGATTATAATACAGACAGCATACACCTTAATTCCAGCTCTCTGGATAAACGGACTTACGTACCAAGTTACATGGGTGAGTCGAATAAGCAATCAAGTAACAATTAATCATCGATCCACTCAACGGGGGAACATATCAACTCTAACCGAAGAAATAACTTTGCTTTGGTGAAGTCTTCGTAACTTTCTATGATTTTTTTTCCAGCCTAGCTCGTTTGCAATTTCACTGCGATATGGAGAATCTGTTTCGAGAACTGACTTTGACAAAATGCAATTCTCCGTCATGCTCGATAACTCCTGTTTTAAAGTGATCATTTAAATGTTCTTCTTGAACATGAACTTTATCAATGTATAGGACGATTCTGTCTTATTTATGAAGTATTGTTAATTAATGCAACTTGTCAAAATCAGTAAATGAAACAATATCTTCATATCACCTTAAAGTGGCGATGAAAAAGACTATGCGTTGTTCCCAGAAAACTTTCATTCTAACTTTTTCCTTATCTATCCACCAAACATGGTAACGTAACATACATATAATAACATTTATTATATATCACGTTATTCCAGTGTTATGTAGCTGTAACATGGTGTGCTTGGTGGGTGAACATTATGCGTTTATTTTCTCTGGATAAGATGCTTAAATCCATAGTATAATTTTCCAAAAGAAAAACGGTTTATCAGCGTAAGACTCCTGAACTTATCATCGATACTAGGGAACAACGTGTGATCTTTTTCTTGACCTCTCTAATTTTTATCGCCAGCTGGTTCTCCTAATTTCTTTAATTTCCTCCTGATTTATTTCTCATTTGGAAAATGTCGTTTTCTTTTCCCCTTTGTCCCATTGCGAGCAGGTAACAACGAAGAGAAGTGCTCGACCCTGACTAGGCAGCACGCTAGGTCCAGCCATAAGCCTAAACTCATTACTCTACCGGTTGACAGTGCACCATTGCATCAACGTAAGTAATCCGCAAAAAGGATTCTCCATCTACTCGGGTCGAAATTTCAAATCTTATCTCGAAGAAGTATAGGTATTTAAGGTGACCGTAGGTGCTGCCCCTTGTAATATATTTATTAACGAAAGACGTGTCAACGAAGCAAAAGAGATTAACCTCGATAAAGCATAAGTTAAATAATTCCCGAATAAAATCTTTCTGCACGTACTTAAAGATGTAATCTTAACAAAAGAGAGATTCACTTGTAAAGTGTATTAATAATTATATTGGCGTACTAGCGTTATTAATTATATCTAATGTAACACTGCCATGTTATTGATTAAAGAAGATTCCACTTTAAACATTGTTCCAGCTATAGCTACAGCCACACCGATAGTGAATAGCAGTATGTCGCAGCCAACTATTCATGGCGCCTGCGCAGATGTTCCATCGGTGAGATCAAACTATCCACGAAATGCTGCACAATACAGCCTCAGTAGAGCTCACATTACGCTGGAGCCTACACCAGAGTCCAGTCCGGATTCTTGTAATATGCCTAGCTCGTATGAACCTCTTCAGAGTCAGGTATCGATACTTTGTTTATTAATTGAAAAGATTTTCTTGGAGTTAGTTTTTTAACGTACCACTTGAGTATTCAAAATGACGTTCCCACCAGAAAGGGTATAGATGAATTTTAATATATTGACCTCGATTAAGTTTCTCAGCGCCTTTCATATCATCTTAAGGGTTCCTTGACCAAGGGCACCACTTTGGAACGTGGAGGAGACTCTACGACGCGCCACGTTACAATATATTTATAACGTACATTATAGGTTATGGTATCTACAAAATATGTGTCGGATTAATTCTGTGTCGTTTTGCAGCTGTCGTACAGTTCTGGTGCACAATCTTATGGTGGAACAAGTCAATATGCCCCAGGTCACTATGGGAGTGGTTCACAAACTGCGAGCAGCAGTGGTGGATTAGACTCGAGTGGTAGTGGCAAGAGAATGCAGGGACATCCGTTGAAGAGTTTCAGTGTCCCTGCCCCTCCACCACAGTCTGCACCTTCTACACCAGCACAACAGAAACATGGTGGTAAGTTCTGATACGGAAAGCCTTTTTTAACTTCAATTTATACAGTCCTGTGTTAAATTACTTTCCTTTCTCGTAGTGTCACAGGTGACTGTGAGGCCTACGATGTCTGGTAGTCCGTACAAGAAACCACCATGTGGTGGAACGCAGCTACAGAAGAATCGTCTTGCCTCTGTTCTAAACCCTTCTCATACTGCGGAGGAGATAGAACGATTAAAGGTATGATCATTTTTATACCCCCTAATTCATGACTTGGGTAGATATCCATCACCCTTGTTTTTCATTGATAAAAGATTTCCTATCAGTAGTAAAGAGGAATGTTAGTAAGAGAAAGAAAAATACTGTGGTAATATTCAGCTCTGTCGTTAATATTAATTTTATTCCTCAGCCATCGTATAGTACCGAAGAGCTTAACCAGGAAATGGCGAATCTCGAGGGCCTCATGAAAGATCTCAATGCCATCACTGCATCAGAATTCGAATGCTGAAGTGTGTGGTTCCTAGTGTAACGTGCCATGCCTAAACCAGACTAGTATCGGGGGATCGAAGAGTATCCCTTGATTTAAGATTAGTGACGTTAGTACTTGAGAGACAAGAAGTAGAAGAGGAATTACGTAATTCCGCCTGAAGAGGACATTCGTCGTATTACAGGGAGATGGCACCGAAGTGTTCACTTAGATTCATTGCTATGGATCGGTGGATTCAGTGATCGAAGAGATTATGATCGACAAGTGTACGAAGAAGTGTACTCTTATATTCAGGGCCGTCAGGATGTTTGAATTTTATTCTTATGAATTTTGTTTCTTAATTTATACCGGTGTGATTGTTTCTGCATCTTGAAGGACCGACATGTCGCTCTCAGTAAGGGTCTCTCTGGTACTAGCGTTTTGCAGCTCTGCTTGCCACTTCGTGTGCTTCGGAAGACTTTTTTTCCCAAGTGGAGTGCACCGAGGCCTGTGAAACTCCAGTCAAGTCTGAGAAGTTTAAGCGAAGGAAGAGGACAAAGACTATGCCTATGCTTTTATAATTAAAGACCGTTGATCAATCTGCTAAATCCTCACCGATCCCTTCGGTGGCGAAGGGTTGAGATTTCGAAGCTTGCCATTGCTATCGATGTTCATCAATGTGCTTGTCTCCATCGAGGAGATGGCGTTCTTGCCTATTGCCTAATTATTTAATCCGAAGCTCTGAAGTGATTCTTCGGAGGGACTGAAATGTCCATCCTGTGCCGGACACTGAACCACCTAAATGATATGGACTCTTGCGAAGTGGTTGCATCCTTGATGCTTTGGTGCATGGATTTTCTATACAGGTTTGGAGGAACAATTTGGTCCACGCGTGGCTTTGATCTTTCATCTGCAGAATCCATGATCTGCCGAGAATTTTCTATAAAACAGACTGCGAAGACAACTGTTCGGCAACCATTTACATCTAAACGTTTTCATGACCAGAGCTACGAACAACCAACAGCATACTGCATTTCTACGAAACAATTTACCGTCGCCGCACAAAGTAAATTTTACTTTTAACTTAAAATTAGAACAAAAGATACGCTTATTTTAATTTCGCGGTAGCATTTATCGATACGTAATTGTTATATTTTACGTATGGTACTATAATTTTCTATATCGACGAGAAACTTTGCAATGCAATAGTTTAAGTGCGCCGAAGACGTGGCGTATCAATTAGATGTCTTTTCAATTGATACGTACGATATTGCTCCGTCATTTCTCGAAACGAAGACAATTACCTCTGCCTATGGAAATGATTAAAAGACGAGTTGATCGTTATCGATGCATCGAAAAAGATAACAGTTTTCATTTGAAGCCTACATTTTTTACAAGAATTAACTAACGTTTTAATTCAATTCGTATATTCACCGTGAATTTGGAATTAAAACAAATAAGGATATTCTAATAGCACAAAAGAAAGTAATTAAGTTAATAATTTTTGTACAAATACGAAGCATGCGTGGACCTTTCGACATTACATAGTTCGATTTAAAATGTAACATCACAGCGAAGAAATCATGTTCTTTTTTTTTTTTTTTTTGTATCGACCAAGGAGTCTATCTTCTAGACTTAAATCTTTCTCACCGAGATTTCCCTTGTATAATTTAAAAATCAATTGAAATTCTTTACATTTCATTTTCTTACATCCTTCGCTGTGGACTGGAAATGTGTAGATTATACTTTCGAGGGCCTTAAAAAGAAGTTAGAGCTAAGTTATCTTTCTTCGAAGGTATTGCGGCAGCTCGCACAAGAGATTCTCTAGCGTTAATAAACGACAATTCGCGACATTAATGGTGTACTTTTTAATACGTTTTTTTTTTTTTTTCTACAATTTCTTACGAGCATTCCTACTTAGAATTAGAAGTCTTCGGATGATAATTAACTTTAGCATTGCGTCAAAAGCCTCTTTCAATTGACATCACCGAGCTAGAGAGATTATAACTCTTATTCTTCTTATTCTCTCATTCATTAATATTGCGAATTGTACTCGGTCGTTTTATAATTAATTATTGTTTAGTAGCTCGATCTCATTCAAAGGAAGGAACGTTAATTTAGAAATTAATGTCTGCACCGGCGTTATTGTCTTAGGATAAGGCCACATAGAACGTTAATTGTTAATGCAAAAAAGCCAATTTATTACGTGTTTATTGCCTACGCTTGTTGGTCTTTACGCCACACCATAGAGACCTGTAAACATGTCAATTTAGTAGTAACTTTTCATTAAAAAAATCTCTCAGTAAGGATGAAATGTTTCTTCTAAATAATATTGATTAAAAGATACCACTTGAAAAACTATTCACGCAGTTTGACGTAATATATTGACGCACATATGTGCAGAGTAGAGAAATAGTCTCCGTCCAATATTTGACTCGATAATACTTAAAAGCTTGTATGGAAACTTTTTTATCACCCTATATTAACGAATTAATGGCAAAAATTGTCAGATTGAAGTTAAGTAATCAGTCTCAACGTCGACTGTCAAGGTACTAAATGCTGGAAAGAATATTTTTAATATTCTGGCTCGCAAGCTAACACTCGCAGCAAGTTTGGAGAAGTTTGGACAAGTTTGGAGAAGTTTGGACAAGCTTGTTTTTTAGATTAGGCCAGCAATCAGCATTCTATGTGGCTCTTTACTCCTAGGATGCGTGCGTGTACGTCAGGCTTTATCGAAAAAGTATCGGAGTGCATGAAGTGTCTCGAAACAAGACTCTTCGATTCAACTGAGCCTTTCGATGGATTTGATAACGAACTTTGTTTTAATTAAATAGACTACTGAAATATTTCTCATGAATTGAAAGGCTTGGAAGCTTGGATAGGTATTTTCCAGACACTTTGTAAAAATTAACTCCGATAGGTCGATAAGATTTTGTACCTCGATTAGGTAGCTCGAACTCACCAGGAATTCGTCTCGTTACGAGACGAGTATTAATTTAAGAGAGCTATAAAGAATATTTTCTATCTTGATATACATATATACACACTCGCGTTTATATAAATATATACATACGAATGGCGTCGTACGTATTATACATTGAATTTCTTAAGACAGGTTTTGTATAAGACGAAGCTCATTGATCCTTACAAGAATTTTTGTACGAGCCAGTTACAACTGATCGATGGCTAATCGAAGGAATCTTTTTAGGAGCTTTCAAAGAAATTTCATAATCCTAAGGATGTTGAAACATTTCGTTTCATCGAGTCATATTGAGAACAACCCATTATCATGCGTCAATATTTTTTCATTCATTACTAATTCCTTTCGCTTCATGAAAAGTCTCATCCACAGAAAAGAAAAGACTCATCGACATAAATATTGTCTTTCAACAATGAACTGAACCTTGTCGAAGCTAAATACTTGAAGGCTCTTCATTCAACCGAATGATAATTAATATTCGACACACATGTAGATTTTTCATAAAGTTTTCTACTCTACCGTAACTTGAAAGTTTCATAGTAATTTATCGATGCAGGACTTTCTGCAGAATGGAGCATAAAAAGACTGGAAAGTAATACATAACGCTGGTACAGAAAAGAATTTTATGAATACGACCTTGGTTCCGGAAGTCTGCTTGTATCTAAAAATTTCAATTAAGAAAAAAAAGAATACGATAATAGGCTTCGGCACAAATTAAATATTTCATTAATGTTAAGAACTCTTCGATGTATAGAAATTTACTACTGAGATCATCGTACACTTTTATAAAGTGCAAATAAAAATGATTACAATGACTTTGTCAATGCAGGCATGTTATAAAGCTTCAATATCCGGCGAGAAATTCCAAACGACCTAAGAAACATTCAATGAAATTTTGAATTTCATCCTTGCGAGACTCCTTCGCACATTTATGGCAAAGTCTGAAATGACGTAGAATTATATTGAATCATAGGTAAAGTACTAAAATACCATGTACGGCGTATTTCATGTACTGTAAACTGCATTTACATGTTCCGTGATCATTCTCATGTAATTTAAGGTGATATGAAAGGGTCATTCTATATATCGAAAGATCAAAATCTATGAAATTTATAAAACTTTTCTCCAAACTGGGTGCACCGAATCATTTGAAACATCAGCAAGTGATTATGAAAACCCTAAAGAAGAATGTAATGTGTGTGAAATTTCATTTTTCACAAAAAAAAAATGTGAATAACCCTTTCATATCATCTTAACAGCGAATCGTGGAGTGAAATTTCCATTGCCATGTACACCCAATGTTTTCTCTTAACTTTTATTCTTATTCTTCTTATGTAATTCCAAAGCTCGTTACGTATGAAAATCCTGAACATGTATGTTTTCTTTCCGCTACCAAATTCCATTGATCAATGAATAAGATCATTTTTTTAACTTTTTGTACAGGCGTTTTTAATAAATATCTTCCAATGTAGTTATTTCTTCATGAAGAAGATTATCTACTTGGAACATATCTTTTGTATTTGTTAGCTCCATGTTAATTATCCACTTGATTGTTTCCTTCGTTCAAATAATATTTCCTAAATTGTGGATATCATGAAATGTTCCGATGATAAAAGTTTCCAAATTTTTCTGCTGGAAGGATCGGACTATTTAAATAAGCTATTTAAAAATCATTCCACGATACTTAATACTTTTTAATACTTTTTCACAATACCTATCTCTCATTTTTCATCCTCGATTACAGTAATTAAATTGACGAATTCTTCGTCAAACATATTATCGATCATCGTTACTTCTATCTTTCACGTTTTGCCCCTTTTATTGAATCGATGGAATTTGAGGACTACTTCTTTACTCCGATATCACCCAACTTTCAATTTCCTGTTCGGGCCAACAGAACAGCGAAGTATCTTAAGGTGATATGAAAGTGTTATTTTATATATATAAAATGACACTTTCATGTCATCTTAAAATAGAACCGGAAAGAAAAGACAGCATGTATATTTGATGTATGTATAGTACGAGTACAGCATAGGTATAGATATATATATATTTAAAAGAAAGCCGTAATGAATAATTGTTAAAGTACTAGTAATAATTTTTCGAGAGACGCACATTCTCGAAAGCCAGGCCTACGGGAGGGCCTAAGAAATATTTTACCACAAAAGTATAATTAGCGTAATTATACATATATACATACACCATATATATATATATATTTATATTCTCTATACAATTACTATTTATTTATCGAAGCCACTAGTCGAAGGGACATAGTGGCGATTGTAAAACGAATGTTTGCGAAACGCCAGAGGCTGGTCGCTTTCTGTAAGGATTATTATCTTTTACTATTACTTATTATTAAAAACGTTTAGATTATTGCGATGATTATTTTTATTGATATTATTACCGTAGCGCCCGGTTGGTGGAGGCGGATCGGACGTGTTAGCGTATAATAAGTAATAAGTATTGTAATTCTGCCGATAATCGAAGACTAAAAACGCGACGCTATCACCGACTGTACATAAAGGAGATATATTAAATAGGGAAAGACGTACTAAGCGTTAACAAGGTAATCGATTATTTATGTAACTGCCGCTCTACCGATTAATAATTATATTGCTATATTTGTACGATATATACACGGCCAATCCCGCCCCCTGAGAACATTCGTAACAAGTGTGTGATAATATTTGTAAAACTTGATATCATCTAATAAACGGTCTTTTATGTTCTTTGCAAAAGATTGCCTGGAGATATGCTAAATTGATAAGATTTCAAATGTGACGCCATACTTAGGTCCGGTTCCACCTCTCCAATGAACCGAAGTTTATGAACTACCCATGTTGACTTAAAAAAAAGAAAAAAATGGGTCCTGTTGAGTGATCCACCTAAATCTGGAAAGGAACGCAAAAGGATACTCAAAACAGAACAATAAAAAAATCCAGGAAGTCTGAGATTAGACTACGAATAAGTTACTAAAAGTCAAGAATATTAATGGGACATCGATCTCGTTAAATTCACTGAATTTTTTATATCACTAAGTGTGCAAAAATCCATCTAAATGAAGACTCGAGAAAATATAATCAAAACGATTGTTCGTCGTCTCTTCCCGTCAATCCTGATAAAATGACATACGAAAAAAATGGGAGAGGTACTCGAGTCTGTCGATATTTTTTAAATATGTATTACATTCTTATTTACATGTACTATAATTAGAAGTTCAAGAATATAATTTGCTTATCATGTCATGTAAGCATGAATTATTTAACAGTTTTCAATGTTTAATAATGTAATATAACCTCGCAATAACAAAAACTAACCTGTACGTCCTAGTAAATTCTCTTTCTTCTAACGAAAACGAGTCTGAGGCATCACGTAATGCCTTTCTTCTTCTAATAAGATTGTTATTACGTCTCCGAATACGATTGTTGCAAAAAATCAAAACACCCAGGTTTTCCATTTTGAATTTCGGTGTCAATCCGTCGAAGATGGCGTTCGCGGTGCTTATTTTTTTATCTCTTCTTGTATGCTTCACCATTTCGCTTAAAAATTTGTGTCGAACCAATTCATACGAATGGTCTCGCATTTTCACCACCGAAAACGTTCCGTAATGCCGCGAGCTACTCATTTTTCACATTTTCGCTCAATTTGCTTTAGGTAATAGACTCCCTAAAAATCGTTACGCCTCCCTTGGGGGCAAAAACGATGAAAGTGACGTTCAAAACCAGAGGGCAGCACAGGATGCGATTGCGCGACCCTGCTCGTTCGCAATCTCCCAACTCATCTCTGTATACATGGTCTAAGATGAATCGCGCCGACGGCGCTACCAGGCGGGACTCTTTAAAAGCTTCCCGAGCACGCGGCTTTCCCGCCAAATCCGCCATCTTGCCGAATGCTAACAAGTGGTACTGTGCTGGTGTTCGCAGTGTTGGAGCGGCGGCCGGTGGGTGAAGAACTGTACTGCTCCTGTCATCGTGTAGCCAGGTATTCGAATGCAGTTTTCTTTGTGAAAGGAAAAGGTGCTGATTTTATGAGCTGACTCTAGCTGCGATTTCATAACCACCGATCGAGATAACATCGGGAAAAATGTACGTTAAAGTGCGGACTATCGATGGAAAGCAGGAAGTGGTGTTAACCATTTCCAAGCTGACCACTGTCGAGGATTTCAAGGTAAATTAACAGGATTGTTAAATAATTTTAATAAGATTTCCCTTGATTCTCCCCGTAATAGCCTTTCCTCGTTCACTTTATGCCGACTTGTCTCAAAATTTGCTCGACTATCGTCCATCTACTCTGAAGGGAGAGAACAAAGAAAGCATAGCATCTGCCCTGAGACCCTTATTGTGTTTCTGGGAACTCTCTTGGGGAAGAACGGAGGGGGCAAGCCCAGTTTGTCCAGGTGATGTTCAAATCGAGCCTCCGACTTTGGAGAGAAAACGATTTACATGGATTACTGTTAGAAAACTGCCCTAATTGTAAATGCGTTCTTGCGAGATGCTTTGAAATGGCAAAACGTGCACGCTACGTACATGTAAAAGACGCAGCTTAATATTAAGCACATGTGTATTACGCTAAATTCATCTCTTTCATCATTACGTACATTTGTTTAATATTATTGCTATGCGGCTGTTTTGCTTATCCATTGCAAGATTTTAACTCTGAAATTTTGCGATATCGTAATGGATGCCATGGGTGCGAGATACGTTAAAATGGCGAAGCGTCTTCTCACGTAAAAGATTTATTCCCGGTAGAATTTAGCAGAAATAATGATTTTTACATTCTTATTTTGTGCTATCCTCCTATTTATTTATTGTGAGCTATAAAATGCCAGGTTTAAGAAAGAAATTCGATCAAAATGGAGTAAAAAGCTCTGTGCGTGCAAATGTCATGGATGCGAGAGCGTTTTATTAAGATCTGGAAGAATGGCGGACGGAAGTGATACTCTAAAGTATGTAGAGTTAATATAGTTCGAAGTGGTTAAGTTAGGTACTCTTGTAGATTAATTGAAACAAACAATTTTCGATCGAGAAGTATTTTTCAGCGTTCCATTAATATAAATGATTTATTTCTAATGCACTAGCAAACGTCTCGAGGTAGCAATGGACACCAGATTCTTCGAGTAGTTAACATGGCGTGACTTGACGGAAACATAAAAACTGCCATCTATCGATAGCCGTTTCAAAGCTGATATTTATTGGCCTTTCCGTAAAATGGTTCATTCTTAATTAATGGATATTGATTATCGATGAATGTAAATGTTTATGAACCGGACAAAAGAAAACCGGTTACGTTAAAAGCTTTAAAACGGTGGAACGTGGCAAATGAGTAGAAACCGAATGCCGCCATCTTTGTAGAGGCACAACGTTCATATAATTACCTTGGATAATTTTGATGTACGATGTAGAGTTATTTATACTGATATTTTGGGGAGAGAAACAATTATTTGTCCCATTAATATAATTTCAGTCAAAATATGTACAGGAGAATAAGATTCCGATACAAAAGAGTACATGTATACACATAGTTATTTTCCATGCGATATATAATTAATCTTAGTAAGTCAAATTATATTTTTTGAACTGTAAATTAATGGAAAATTCTTTAATTCACTGTACATATTGAACAACTCTGTGTACAATCATTGTAACATTAATTCATTTATTACATTCAATTTATATTGTAATTTTTAACCATGCTATTACAAATCCATATGTAATAGTGCTGGTTAACAACGGTATGGTCATAGTCATTTTTACAATAATGATACTTGATATTTCTTCTTGATTTTCTCAATTTTAATTTTTTTCCAGTTAGAGGTGCAAAAGGAGATGTCGGTGAAGCCAGATCTGCAGAGACTTTTTTATCGAGGCAAACAGCTGGAGAATGGATACAAACTCTTTGATTACAATGTTAACTTGAACGAAGTGATCCAGCTCATGGTGAAAGCAAAAACAGATGAGAAGCCAAAGGAAGAGATCATTCCTGCAGCAGATCCCATCAAAGAAGAAAAGAAAAAGGAAAGTAACGAAGAGGAGCTGATCGAAGCGGAGAGTCTTTACTACAGAGTAGGCGATTGCATTGATTGTATCGATATAGCTTACGGAGCCTGGTTTGAAGCTAGAATTATCAAAATCTTTAAACGTGCTGGTAGTTTAATTTATGGTCTCAAGTGGGAATTTGAAGATGCTGATGAGGAGTTTGATGTAGCCGAACAATTTATTAGGCCTCGTGCTCGACGGCTGCTAAACTTCAATGAACTCGAAATTGGGCAGAAAGTTATGGTCAATCACAACGTGGAGGAACCCAAAAAGAATGGCTTTTGGTACGATCTTCTTATCACGAAGATTCACAAAAATAAAGCAAACGAAGAGCTGACTGGCACGTTATATGTTGGAAGGTAAGCATCTGATCAGAAAATAAACTTATCTCTTACCTTGAAATTGTAATTAAATGCTCTAAACTATTAAGCACAATATTTAACACCTATATACTGTTCATTTATACAGTTAATAAAAATCTTTGATTGTAGTTTTATTTCTTATAATACAGTTTTCCGGTTGTTTTACATTTTTATCTACTTCTGTGAATTATTTATTCACAAGAGACCTAATTAACGAAGAAGTGCATATGGATTAATTAAGTACTTATTGTTATTTTGCAGGAATCATTTACTAATAGAGAATTGTAAAGTTAAACCAAAGGGAGAAGTGTTTGCCATAGAGGAGCCAAAGCTTCTAGAGGATTGTACAGCGAAGGATTTGGAATTGTTAAGACAAAACAGTACAAAGAGAAGGGTTGCGGTGCTCTGTACAACTTGCATGGACAATACTCGAAGGAAATGCAGGGACTGCGGATGCAGAGTTTGCGCTGGCAAGGAGGATGCTCATCATCTTTTGCTTTGCGATGAATGCAACTCTGCGTACCATCTTCGTTGCCTCGATCCTCCACTTGAAAGTATTCCTACGGAGGATGATTGGTATTGTCCGGAGTGTAAAAATGACGAAAATGAAATAGTAAAGGTGAGCTTCATAATTTAATAGTATCATCCCATAAAATAATTTGGTGTTAACATTTTTGTACAATTTTGAAAGAATTAATAATGTACATGCGTTTACTTGCCTTTAGCATATAATTATTAAGATGATGTGAAAGTGACGTCAGAGTTCTCGTTCATGAAACATTTCATCAAACTAATACTTTAAATATCCTAAGTTAAAATGTAGAACTGTGATTGCGCTTTTTAGGCTGGGGACAAATTAAAACAAACCAAGAAGAAGACGAAAACTACTCTCGGGGAGAGTAAAGACAAGAGGGATTGGGGTAAAGGTATGGCTTGCGTAGGTAGGACGAAGGAATGTACTCTAGTCCCACCGAACCATCGTGGTCCAATACCTGGAGTTGAGGTTGGAATGTGTTGGATGTTTCGTCTGCAGGTAATTAGTGTTTTAATATAATTTTCAGATATTTTATAATTTCAGTGGTTAACGAGAACTTCACAATGTTCCGAAAGAAGGTTCGGTGTATTAAAAATTATTCTGAATACGACATTGAACTAATGATGTTTTTTTTATATATATAAAATAGTATGAGTTGGTAGTTTTTATTGGATATTTTTAATACGTACAGAGGATGGGGAAAAGTCAAATTTTATTTTATGTTACAGGTCTCCGAAGCAGGAGTACACAGACCACATGTAGCCGGAATACATGGCAGAGAGACTGATTGTGCTTATTCGATAGTACTATCAGGTGGTTACGAAGATGACATCGATAATGGTGATGAATTTATGTACACTGGCTCAGGAGGACGAGATTTGTCAGGTACTTTCGATCAATTATTTCTAATGTAATAATTTACTGTCTTTAAATATATATGTGCAGACACTTTGAAAATCACGTTGTTTATAATAATTGAATTATTTCTTAAGGAAACAAGAGGACAGCTGAGCAAAGCTGTGATCAGACGTTGACTCGTATGAACAAAGCTTTGGCTCAAAATTGCAACGCAAAGTTGAACAGCGTCAATGGTGCAACTGCTACAAATTGGAGAGGTGGTATTCCTGTCAGAGTTGTTCGTAACTACAAGCTAGCAAAGCATAGTAAATACGCACCGAAAGAAGGAAATCGGTAAGATTTTCACTTTCTTCCTGCCATATTTGAAGCATTTTCGTACTCAATATATTTTTGCCTTACATTTACGTTCCAAATCATTTATCTTCTAGAAATTAATGGAACGTAAGCAACTATACATATTATTTTTGTAAATCATTGGCCTTCGCTAGAAATTAATTGAAGTATCATCCAAATTGTTTTTGTATATAATACTTATCTTGATCCCACTTGAATCGATACTTGATATCTATATTTGAAATGAATCGATCACCTTAATGAATTGCAGATATGACGGAATATACAAAGTAGTGAAATACTTCCCGGAACGTGGAAAGAGTGGCTTCAGCGTTTGGCGTTATCTGCTTCGAAGAGATGATCCAGCTCCTGCACCTTGGACAGCAGAAGGCAAGAAAAGGATAGCTTCACTCGACTTGGAGATGATGTATCCGGATGGATTCCTCGAAGCAAAAGAACAAAATAAATCCACTCAACCAGGAAATAAACGGAGCGCATTGAGGGAAAAGAGCAATTCTCCGAGAGGTAGGAAGGCATCTCCACCGAAAAAGAAGCAAAAAAGGGAAGGTTACCAGCTGGATGATAAATTGTCGCAATTCATTGAAGAAGACCAAAGCAATGCGAAACTTTGGGAAGAATGTGCCATTGCTTTGCCGGACGGGAAGGCTGCATATTTGCAGCGAGTCTCTGAAAGGTTAGATTTCCTTGCTCTTTTTCATTTTTCCTTTCTATTAGGAATTACTTATAACTTGGTTGTACTACCAACTGCATAAACGGAGTGTTCTATAAATTTAGAGCAGTTTACAAACCTTGGGATCCTTTAACTTGAAAACCAGAATTGTCGAGTACTTTTTTTTAAAAGAATTCGTAATACGTTCTGCTCTTTTTTTTTTTTAATTATTGAAACGTAAAGAAAAATAAAAATGTCTTTTGAGGATATATGAGATACATATAGTATGGAAGTTAAATATTTTGAATTTTTGTGTTTCAAGGTTTCAGTGCGTCTGCTGCCAAGAAATAGTGTTCCGTCCTGTAACGACACCATGTGCTCACAATATTTGTTTGAGTTGCCTGAAGCGCAGCTTTGTAGCTGAAGTTTATACCTGTCCAGCCTGTCGTCATGCTCTTGACAAAGATTGCGAGGTGCAAGTTAACGAGCCACTCTCTTCTGCCTTGCTCCTTCTCTACCCTGGCTACGAGGCCGGTAGATAACTCGAGCTTCCACTCATTCTTTGCCCTATACACACTTAATTATTATTAATTACTAGTGATTATTACACCATTAAGGCTCGTTAAAGCCGAGTGTCACAATTCTGACAGGTCTATCTTGATAGTTCAAATTATCACCCGATGAATGCCAAACCATCAATTGAGTCCATTCATCGGTGGCAGTATTCTTTTACGGTCCGGAGTAATATTGTTAATGTTTTACAGCGTCTAGATGAATGATTGCAACGATATTATCGGTGCAGGTAATTTATTAGTAGTGTTTGCAATTACGATAGGTTATGTTAGAACGATGATCAGTTCGGGGTGAGAAGTTTTACCTGTCCGATATACTTTGTTGTGCCATGTTATTATCCTCCGTTTTGATACTATTTTAAGGTTTTCAATCGAGGTTTATCTGTTTGCGTAAACAATTGATTCTGCGAACGGACAAATTAATTCCTTGTAATATATATTTGACTTGATGTTGATAATGTGGCACAGAATTATCAGAAGAGAATGTCTGTTTCTGTAACGACGGTGTCTCATTTTTTTTCTTTTTATTAACCCCCTTTCCTGATGTTTGTAGGACGTCAGAATATGAGGAAAAAATTTCACTCTGCATTCTTCCATTCCATTTTAACGTTTCATTTGAACACGATGTTGAAAGAGTTGAAATAAATTAGTTTCCATATTTTGGAGGTTTTTCTCTAGCATTTATGTAGTACAAAAAGTATAGGAATAGGGCTGTAGACTTGTCATATTCTTTGACAGCCTTCTAACAATATTGTTAAAGCTGAGAAGTAGGTTAGTTCATATTTTTCCTCAGTTTTGCAATGATTCCATTTAAAGGGAATGTTAGAAATGTTTCCGGAACTTTTATGTAATTTTCTGACAACGGTCACTCCAGAATCAATTAATCATTGGATCGTGTTGCTCTTTTATAGTAAAAGTAGTTTAATTTAAGTAGAATAAAGCATTTCTACCTTTATTTATATTTTTTACATTTTCCGTTATAGTGAAAAATGTTACAGCAATGCTCAACGAGGGTTTTTCTTTATTCCATCTTTTGCGGCAGAAAAAACCTGATCAGTGTACGAGGAAATAGTAGTTATTTCTAGCATTAGATTTATACAATGTTAGTTATACAGTTTTACAAGTATTAGGTGGATAAATTTATCGATTACATTTATATAAATCTACTCATTTCTGAAATAAAGTATTAAAAGTAACAGTATATCTAAATTCATCGATACTTTCATTCTCGTTTAAAGAAAAAATAACTATTCAGAGGAAGGGAAACATCAAGTAAGTGTCATGTATTTCATCCCAAAGAACAGTACAAACAAATCAATGTTTTGTTGAAATGGTAATAGAAGGAAATTATGTAAATGGTCTAGAATATCACAAGAAAATGTAGCTTTAAAGCGACATTATAGGAAACGGAATTTCCATTTAAGAATTGGCTTTCTCTGTCTGCTGATCTGATTTCTTAATCGGTGGTACAACTTCTCCGATCCACTTAAGGTAGTCGGCATTACCGTTCTGGATCTAGATAGTAACGAATTAATAAATTTAATTGAATGAATATCATAAGATAATTAAATATAAAACATGATTGCAACATTTTTTTTATTTAAAATGGTACAAGAATGTAAGAAATTATTTAATTTTATACTACTTCTAATTCTACTTTTACTTACTGGTAACGAGATGACTTCGCAGACCTTATATGGATGTATTTCTCTGCAAACCGAATAATGGTTATCGGAGTTGCTCTTAATTCTTAATTTCATAGAGTTTTGGACACTTACTTAACAAATTTCGTTAATGCATCAACTACTTCAGTTCTGGATTTGATCATCTACAATCATAACGCATGAATAGAAATTTAAATAGCAATTATTTAGGAATTTCAAACTTATATGAACGTAACATTTTCTTGGCATTTAGATCTTAACAAAAATTTCTGTAACCCGTGAAATACCGTTTCTTTGCTAAAACTACTGTCGTTAATAAGAACTTTCATTCTATATCCTTTGACTTTCAGGGATAATAGTAAACGTACTTAATATAATTTTATGGGTTCAATATTTAGCAGCAATTAATTCTAAAGAATACAACCAGCTTACCAGAAGTTGTTCACTGTTCTCTTCTATCTTGTCTTCCCACTCGTATCTACAATTAGTAAATACGAATTTTACAAAACAATATGACAAGTATACCTTACAATTATTAAATAATAAAGCTAGGTTCGTACTGATACTACACGATTGAAACTGCAAACATAGACCTACATGGATATGATTTGAGGAATAATGTTGACACACGCAGCCAATTTATTTGTCACCAAACCTCTGAAAGTTGAACGTTGTTATCCAGAGTAAGATAAAAACATATTGAATGGAATCCGATGACTGTTACTGTTTCTATTGTTATGAAGAAAATTGTAAACAACTTACTGTGCGATATTTCGAGACACCTCGACATTTGGTGTAGTTACATATACCACGGAATAAGTGCCAGCAAAGTCAGTCATCGTTCTATTTCCCTGTACGCAGAGAAATCTGGAGGCTCCTAGAAATGTTAATAACTTTAGTATCGATTTCCCCAACATTTGCAAGTATTTCTTGTAAGTTGATGCGATGTTTCAAGTTACTTATCGATTGGTACTCCGAAAGTAAACTAAGATAACCTGTGGTATAGCATAACCTAACATGAGATTACCTAACCTTCAAAAAGTTCGTTCGAAACATGTAAGAATATGTGGCCAGAGCTCAAAGTCCCATCTTAGACCAAGTAAAATACCCCAGGAAATTTACGTGGTGCTCTACTGGTCGTCAGGTTGGCCGGCTGCAAAGAATTCAGGGGATCTATTATGTAAAGCCAGAGATGAGCAAATTGAGCGAAAATGTGAAAAATAAGTAGCTCACGGTATTACGGAACATTTATAGTGGTGAAAATGCGAAAACATGTACATATGAATCATGAACACATATGAATTGGTTCGGCGGCGCAACGAATTTCTGGTAGGGACTCGCGCACTCGCGATGGCTGTGCCATCTACCAGTTGCCGTTGGCGGCTCACGTATTCGCGATGGTAATACCATGCGGCAGTTGACGGTGGTGGCTTACTATTATGGCAATTTATGGGAAGGATCGAGCGACCGCGTCCTGTGTGACCTCCGGCGGAGGACGCAGACGGCTAAGCACTTGCTACCTGTTACAATTCTGGGCAGCCCGAGAACCGGCTGAAAAGGTGATGAACTCCTCACAAAAACTCCAAACTCTGTATCCCCTCCGAAAAAAATCGACCAATCATGGTCCTTTATCGGGCCGATGACGTCGTCCAATCACGGAGTCGGGTCACGGCCGGGGATTGCGGCCCGGCCGGCGGATCGCCAGTTGCCCCTGAAAATTTGCCGCGAGAAGACGTCGTTAAAAATTAAGAAAATGGCGGGGGGCACGAGGGCAGCGGAAGCGGATACAAAGGTGGAATACAGTGATTACTGTGATAATATCGTTCAATGGAGCAAGAGGAAGAGGAAGCGAAGGCAGCGTATCCAGCGTATCCAGCAAATGCAGCGAATGCAGTGAATGCAGCGAAAGCAGTGGAAGCGGATACGAAGGTGGAATGCAGCCAGAGCCAACGTCGAAGGGAGGCAGATGGAGAGGAGGCCAGAAACCCCAGGTCTCTGCGGAGGGATCTCCTGGGGGAGTACCGCCAGAAAAAGACGGATCGTCCCGTTGGTAAGTCTCAACGTTTCCTTCCTCCGATCCCTTCATGTCGCAGGACGAAAGGTCCGTACCGGCACGGGGATCGGTTGTATGTTTACATTTTGATTCGAGGGACCGCGAGCCGTCGAGACGATCTCTCGCCGACTCGCGAGTGGTCGTGTTGATTTTCTATGTTTTTCATGTGCTCTTTTAGAGTAGGAATAGATTTCTCCCGGGTCCGCGGTAATTTTCCGATCGCGATGCTTAATCGAGCGCCGGGAAGTCGGATGACCCTCCGACTTCGAGGCCGCCGGTTCCGCGGAATTTCTACGAATAATTGAATAAAAAAAATAAAAAAAGATTTGGGAGAAGTGACTCGCGAGGAGTTGAATTCGAATCGAGGTGGCACTTCGATGTGCCTGCGCCTTAGAGTCGCCGCCTCGATGAAGGAGTCAACTTCAGGGATTGCAGGTTTTTTCGGCCAAGCCTTCCACTACCCTGGGGCCGTAGTGCGTGCTGGGCTTGGCCTTTCTTTCTTGGAAAAATCAGAGTAGAGTCGGTAGCTCGTTTCTACGATGTATAAATTAATCAGCTTAGGATTTTTTCAGCCTCTACGACGGTAGGTGCCTTTTCTTGTGGCCGCGTTCTTTGCTGGCCCCCACCCTTCGTCTCCTCCAGGAGCGAGTCGATCGGGTCGGGGCCAGGAGACGCGGTAAACCGAAACTTCGCGAACACCTTCGAATGCCATCCGCGTTTCGATTCCGTGAACGAGTTTAATTTTTCTTACATTCAATTGGCGATGGCAATCGGAATGTATGAGTGTGAGAACTGAGCTCGGGGGTCGGAGGCATCCCGGGATGCTGTCCCTAGGATTAGGCTTTTTGTCCCCGGGCGGAATGAGAGAGAACCGTGGAGTGAGTGTGTTGGAACGAATGTGTTTTTTCTTTTAGATATAGCTAGGGAGGTAGGTCAATTGTCTTGAGTGAATGTTTAGATGTAAGCAGGCAGGGCCAGGGCGGGATCTCTTCCTGGGGGTTTGGGAGGAGATCCTGAACCTGGGGTAATTTTCCATCGTCCGCGCTTCCGGAAGCGCGGAGGATGTCCACCCTGTAATATATCCGCGATGGTATTAATTTTCTTTCAGGAATAAATTTAATTAGACCGCGCTTGGGAATCGAATAAATGTGCAATACGCTCGGACTGCGCATCCTCGGATCGCAGGTCGTCGTTTTGCTAGCTTTTGAATCTGCTCGCGGAGTAATTCTTTTCTTTTTTTTTTTCAAATTCGAAAAATCAGGGGATTGCCAAGCGTTCGAGACGTAGGGGGCTCTGCCCGAAGAGACTACAAGTGTCGAAGAGGCTATATGCCGAAGCGGCCCCTTAAGAAGAGGGCAACTACGATGGCCTTCCATTCTTTGGATGGAACGAATGGACAGTCATCCATTTTTTTCGCCACGTTGTCCCTCATTTTTTGTATATCCTTCTGTCTGGATTGACGGGGAGAGACGGTGAACTATCGTTTTCATGAAATTTTCTCGAGTCTGCATTTAAGTAAAATAAATATATTAGAGTTTTGTCACGCCAAGTAATGTATAATTGAATACATTTTTACTGGGTCAATTATACGAGATTGATGCCCTACGAAATATTCTTGACTTTAATGGTAACTTTAGTAAGTTATTAACTCTTGTATCACCGTCTCTTTCTCGCTTTCCCAATGGTTTCGTTTGTGCTTTTGTGTTCCCTTTCAGCGTTAGGTGGGCCACTTCGGAGAATCTGGCGACTTCCTGGTGTTTCTTCAATGTTCCGTTTTACCTGTACTTTTGTGCCACTTTGCAGGTTTAGGTGGATCACCTGGAAGAAGCCATTTTTGGTAAAATCATCATGGGCAGTTAATCGAAATCGAGCTTGCTGCACTTGTTGGTAGAAGATGTTAAAATATGTTAAAGGATGTTTGTGAATTTTTTTCGCGATGCGAATCGCGTCCACGGTAGCTTGATGGGGAAGGTTGTCGGTTTAAATTGATCTCTCGAGCTAGTGGCTGGGATTTTTTTCGGAGGAGATACAGGGTTTTGGAGTTTTTCTGAGGAGTTCATCGCTTTTTCAGCTTGGTGGGGAAGGTTGTTCGGTTTAAATTGATCTCTCGAGCTAGTGGCTGGGATTTTTTTCAGAGGAGATACAGGGTTTTGGAGTTTTTCTGAGGAGTTCATCACTTTTTCAGCTTGGTGGGGAAGGTTGTTCTGCTTAAATTGATCTCTCGAGCTAGTAGCTGGGATTTTTTTCGGAGGAGATACAGGGTTTTTGAGTTTTTGTAAGGAGTTCATCGCTTTTTCAGTTGTTGCTTTTTTAGAGTTGGGAGATTGCCATAATGGTAAGCCACCAAACTTCGAAAACACCGAATGGTATTAGGATCTGGGCTTCTATGGGACTTCTGAATTGTTCGCCGGTTGTGTCCTTTTCGAGGTTTAGATGGATCAATTAACAGGACCGTTTTTTTTCTTTCTTTTTCGAGTCATCATGGGTAATTCATCGCTGCAGAACCTGCTGGTAAAAGGTGTTAAATGATGTTTATTGTCACTGTGATATAACGGATGAACATAAGGTGATATATTGTACCTCGTCCACTGTTTCAGTATCAATAATAATTCTAACAATTAACGTTTGTTCAGTACACGAATATTGTAGTAAACAAATAACAGCTCTTATTGGACGAAGTGGGGAAACAGTTTACTGTTGTGTATATTTATTGCGTTCCAGTAAATTGATACATGCAACATTAAATTAAACATTTAGATTCCTGTTGTTTAGGACTAATTCAAGATAACGCTTCACGGTTATGATGGACTAAAATTTGAAGAGTAGTTTCTTTTTGTTGTTGAAATCATACGCACCTTGCTTAATTCTATCGTGAAAATAATACATTGCGGTAACACGTAATAAATGGTTAAAAAATACATCTGTTATTCTATAATGAGGTTATTTGGCTAAAACTGTTGCTAACTGATGTTTCAGTAACGAGCGACCGTAAATTCATGGTTTAATAATATTTTATACACTTTTAATCGTATAACACTAATATATAGAAATTCTCTGGTAACGGACGTAATAAAATATACGGCTTTGTAATAAATGATCATTAATGAATATGTTGTAACTGCACAATATATTCATAAAAATGTAATATATCGTAAACTATACAAAAATGTTCAAACTTCCAAGATAGTTATTTGCTCATTATAGGATATTTGTTCATGAACGGCGCAAAGTAATTTCTGGACAATGATAACAACCAATATACGCCATGACACGTAAACTTGTTTAATTACATTTTCATAGTTAACGTAATCGAATTTGTTCTTGTAAACCGTAATGCGTTGTCAGTCATATCGAAAAATTGAGGATCATCGTGATCTATAATTATAACCGATGATCAATCGATTACATTACTCGTGTATTCCAAACATCATTTATCACTAGTGAACTATTGCAACAATTTTCATTGTACACTTTTATCGAGTTAATCCCCTATTCTACGAGAGTACTTAGTATTCCACTGAGATTTTTCCGAATGTTATTCAACTAGAAAAGTGTAAATGTATTTACACTTTTGGCCCGCTTCTTATTAATTACTAATCAAGACTAATAAGTAATTTGCTTAAAGGGAATACTTTTACAAAAGTTACGGACAAATCTTAGGGGAAATAGGGTTTAATGTCGCTCTAGTGAGAATACTTCCAATTAGCACCACCTTAACTACTCCTCTATTAGCATTTGCAGTTCCACTTACTTTTTTTTTTATTTTATTAGATTATTCTAATCTATAATTCTCTTCGGTTGTAACCGCTTCAATTCAGACAAGTGCTAACCCTTCCCAGGGAATTGCAAATCCCTTAACGTGTTAACTGCGAAATTTACTTAAAGTTACTTGTTACCGACGTGTATACGCGTCGGACGCAGTTAACTATTTAAATATGAAGATCATGCTGATAGCTTTCAACCTCGTTGATCATCCTCGTTAACGGATCTTTAGTCAGATTCTTCGAGCGTTTCCCGATCTCCGGTGCGATTTTGTTACCGGGGATCCCATTCGTGAGGTGTGCGACGCCATTTTGGAGAACGTGGGCCGCCCCGTTAGCTATGCCGTTCTGATATAAAGAAACATTATCACTTTGGCGAACCACGCCATTGCCCAGGGTTGGTTTGGCGTTGGTCAGGACGCCGTTCGCTATCCTGGTGCCCCCGTTCGCCATTTGCGTAACTTTCTGGTCGGTTACGTCCTGAACCTTCCTCGAGATGGAGTCGATGCTGTTAACTGCGTTAGATATGGTGCCATTGATTAAAGAGTTCCTAGGAGGATTGGCGTCATCTTCGCGATGGGACTTGTTGCGCGCGAAATTTTGCGCCATCGTGTTCGCCATCTTGTCCACTTGGGTGGCCAATGCCCCAACGCCTCTGTCGGCACTTCTTGTGGCACTTTGTTTCTTTTTTCCTGATCCTATTATCTTTCGGCCTCCGTTGATGTTAACGGAGGCCAAGGAGTTTGGGTGCCTCCCGTCGTTGTTACGAGTAACACCCGGTAATCTGGGATTCCCTTCTTCCATGATTCGTAAACCGCGTTGCAGTTGGTACAGCGCTGCTGCAAAATCCTGCTGCACACTCGGGACGTCCGTGTCACCGTCGATCTTGAAAGAAACATGACATTCTAATGACTGCAATGTATGGAGTTGAGTATATCACAATTTCGGCTGAGATTCAGTGGTAGTATTATATATAAAAAAAGACGATGGTAACCATACGTACGATTGTCAATCGATTATCATTGTCGAGAGCTTTCAACATTGGCAGGGAGATTTCACGAAAGAGCTCCAGTCTTCTTCTAAACGAAGTTACGTTATCGTCCGGTCTGCCTCGACCCAACTGAAGTTTGGAACAATCCAACAGCACCAATGGCGGTTTTTGTCCAAACTGAAAAGGAAAAATCCTGTCTTTAGTTACGATCATACCCAAGGAATTTATACGCGCATCGTGCCCCACATTTATTTCTTAGATTACGCCTCTCGCCTTTACGAATCAATCGATCCATGCTTAACGTTCGTAAATCCCGAATTTAATTTCCTAATGTTAGCCGAACAGAGTATAGAATAAAAATTCCGATCGATAAAGAGAATATCAGAGATAAGAATTGGCAAAGTGAGCAGCAACGAGCCAGCGTTCTCTTGCAATCGTCGGTTAAAGTCATTTTCTTGGTAGAAACTTTGTATCTTCCTGTTTGTTTTTTCTGTGGTCTTTTGGTCTGTCGTCCTGTTGGGCTTTTCAATGTTCAGATTTGCCGCCGAATTCACAGCCTACAGTTTTATAACATCTTGCTCTCGCTCGGGATCGAGGGTAGAAAGTCTAGAGAAGGTGTATACTGGGAGACATCAATGCCCTCCCAACCTGCACAGGCGATGCCGTATCTGCAGGGGAGGCATTCATGTCCGCCATTGTGCACTCGGGGGTAGATGCCCCAATTTAATTTCCTAATGTTAGCCAAACAGAGTATAGAATGAAAATTCCGATCGATAAAGTGAACATCAAAGATAAGAATTGGCAAAGTGAGCAGCAACGCGCCAGCATTCTCTTGCAATCGTCGGTTAAAGTCATTTTATTGGTAGAAACTTTGTATCTTCCTGTTTGTTTTCTGTGGTCTTTTCAATGTTCAGATTTGCCGCCGATTCACGGCCTACGGTTTTATAACATCTTGCCCTCGCTCGGGATCGAGGGTAGAAGGTCTAGAGAAGGTGTACACTGGGAGACATCAGTGCCCTCCCAACCTGCACAGGCGATGCCGTATCTGCAGGGGAGGCATTCATGTCCGCCATTGTACACTGAGAGACATCGATGCCCTCTCATCCTGCACAGGCGATGCCGTATCTGCAGGGGAGGCATTCATGTCCGCCATTGTACACTAGGGGGTAGATGCCCTCGCAAAACGAGCCCCAAAGTGTAGATTTTTCGTAAAAGTTTAGAAAGGTCTAGGGAAAACGAAGAGACCTCTAAAAGCCGAATTGTTCCTAAGTGACTACGACGGACTCACCTTGTTCTCGAACTCCTGAACTTGGTTAATGTCTCTAGGGAATCCATCCAAGAGTATGCCGTCCGTGTCGCGATTCAGAATCACCTGCTGTTCCACCAGTTGCATTGCCACGTCTTGAGGGACCATTCCACCGGAAACTATCGCCTCGTTTACCACCGGATTCGAGGAGGCCATATTGCGCAGCAATCCACCTATGCTAACGTGAACCCACCCTGGGATATTTCTGACTGCCTGGGTGCATAGTGTTGCCTTGTTGCTTCCGGGACCACCTTTAAATCGATCACAATATTACCACGTGTTACATTAACGTAGAGGGGCCGCAGAGGTGGCGGTAAGCGCCAAATACTTTATTAACTTAATTGCAGAATTTGTTGGCGGCACCGGGGGTTATCGTCGGCAATCACTAACAGTAAGTTTGTGTTGTAAATAGGCTACCAGGGTAAAAATTAATAGGGTGAAAACACTGAGAACCTAGGTTCTGACATTCATGAAATTTCATTTTCTTTTCTTTTTTTTTTTTATAAGAAATTTTTTAACTGCTAGGACTGCCAACTATTACCGACGCTTCGATTAGCAGCCATTTCTGGTCAGATAAGTTGAAACGCATTATGGATTTTTTTCTTGCTCACCTATCACCCATATGAATAAGGGAATCCCTTTTCTGGGCTTATCTGCTGTCTTTGATGGATGCACGTTATCAGCTGGTGACGGTGGCGTAATTTCTGCTACGACTATTTGTTTCGCCGGCGGTGAAACTGGGACCGTCGTTCTTTCCACTTGCACCTGAAAGAAAGGAAGTTGGATGTCGAGAAATTTATTAATCGCGGAAATTTTAATGTTTTATCTCTTCTCGAGTTGCTTTCATACTTCTGCTTCCACTGATTGTGGAACTTCCGATTTCGGATTTTCTTCTGGCACTCTTAATATCCTCATCACGGCGTCTCGGAAGTCGACGTAAACTTCGCTCGGATTTCTCTCGCCGTTTATCTGCAATTGATTTAATTCTAATTATTGCAATGTTGCTATAAAAAAAATATGCCTTCTTTTCTTAATTTAGTTTAAATCGACAACCATTCTGTTATCAACATAAGCGGGAGCGATATCATATTTTTTTACACGGAAGGTGCTTTTGTTCAGATTCCCCTTATCAATGAAATTAAAATCCAAGAATATGAATATTCCCAAATTTGGAAAACGATGATATTCTTCATAGGAATACTAAACTCAACATTGTTCATCATGGTTCAATTTTTGTCTTAAGACGAAATGTTGCTATAAAAAAATATGCCTTCTTTTCTTAATTTAGTTTAAATCGACAACCATTCTGTTATCAAGAGACGCGGTAGCGATATCATATTTTTTTACACGGAAGGTATTTTGTTGAGATTCACCTTATCAATGAAAATAAAATCCAAGAACACGAATATTCCCAAATTTGGAAAACGAAGAGATTTCTGATAGAAGTACTAAACTCAACATTGTTCGTCATGATTCAGTTTTTCAAGGCATTATCATTTACGTCGCAAAACATTGCTCTTAGGGAATATGTAGAAAAGAAAAAAAAAATGGAAAATGAGAACTCACCGCCAATAACATTCCGCTCTGGTCAAAATATTCGGCAACCGGCATGACGTTTCTATAGAAATTTTGAAGCTCCATTCTGGCCAGTCTCAAAATTACTTGACCTAATTGGGCGCCATAATTGATTTGTCTTTCCAGGAGTTCCTGCCTCCAGGATACAAGTACGACGCCGTTCACTATTTGTATCTGCAAAATGAAATATATCCCAAGGGATATGTTAAACAAATCTACCGGACATATAATAAAAATTCCCCATGGTTAATATAAAATACTAACATGAAAATAAATCAATTAAATAAAGCCGTGAGTTTTGTCATTCTAAAGTGAATATAAATTAATTCAGATTCTGAAAGATGGTAATTGAAAATATTTTGGTAGCGATGAGTACACTGAGAAAAAAAAACAATATCATCGAAATAATTACTCTTAGAATTAACAAAATGTTTCTTCGGTACCATTCGAAGAAACATTTCTTTGGTTCGATGAATTCTTCTTTTTTTTTTTCGGTGTACTTATAACGAGATGGGTATCTGTAAGGCTTTTATGACTCAATGAGTGCAACCGAATGTTTCAATAATTTTCAATTAGTTTAAAGAATGTTTATTCGGGGAAGTCGAGACGTGGTCGGAATCTGTGGACGTATTATTGGATCTTCGGTCTCGATTCTGCCCTCTTCTTCTGGGATGTGCTTATTTTAGGCTTTTTGTCCTGGCAATTGGGTATTCCTGGACAAAGTCCACGCGTGTCCTCGCCAATATCGATCATTTATGCTGTAAGGCCGACGGAAATATCCATTACTTTTCCGGGACAGGGCGAAAATAATTGACATCCCGGCCATTCGCGAATTATCGGCACGTGTGCATTGTGTTTAGTCGCCGGCACTCCTTTGCAGGAATTTAGGTATTTTTTTTATATCATCTTAAGGATCCTTCTGGACCCTTAGGATGATACGGAAGGCGCTGAGAAATTTAATCCAGATCAATAAATTAAATTTCATTTATTAATTGATTTATCGGCACGTGTGCATTGGGTTTAGTCGCCGGCACTCCTTTGCAGGAATTTAGGTATTTTTTTTTATATCATCTTAAGGATCCTTCTGGACCCTTAGGATGATATGAAAGTAAATGAAATGACGCGAACATCTGACCAATTTCATTACAATGAAATTTGACAATGTTAGAACGTGATTCATCCAGGTTAATCAATATTTACGCGTGTATGGAATTCTTAAACAAATAGTGTCAGCTCAGATGCAAATTGGTTAACCCTTAGGGTGCTAAGCACTTTCGGCGTATGGGCGAATTTCGTCAGGGCGTGCTAGCGATATTCGACCAAACGTCGGATGCACATATGCGTCGACAGCGCTCAAAGGGTTAAAAGAAATGACGCGAACATTTGACCGATTTCATAAGAATTTAATGAAACAATGTTGCATGCGTTTACATTAACAATTGTAGGGGGGGAATTTACATTAATCTTACCTTTTCGGAATATTCAACGACGTCTCGCATATTCCGTGGATATCCGCTAACCAAAAATGTCTTCGCTCCTGGCGACATTTTCATTTCGAGCATCAAAACCTCCGTCACGGTTTTGCTGCTCAATTGGCTGAAATCTTGCATATCTGTAAAGATAAAAGAATATTTATTTAATAAAGAGAATTACTTCTCCCCGCGGTGCACCAATGATTAACGTGATTTTTCAGAAAATAAACATTGTTCATATTTATTCACGATTGTACGATGATTAATAAAGTAAAGTAAAGTATGATAAAGAATAATTATAGTTTAGATTCTGTTTAATGAACTTAATTATTTCATGTTTTGTGTAATCGGAAGTATTTCAGGGGTACGAATAAAAAAAAAATGAAATCTCATTGTTGGATTGCACCAATGATTAACATGATTTTTCAGAAAATAAACATTGTTCATATTTATTCACGATTGTGCGATGATTAATAAAGTAAAGTATGATAAAGAATAATTATATTTTAGATTCTGTTCAATGAAGTTAATTATTTCACGTTTTGTGTAATCGGAAGTATTTCAGGGGTACGAATAATGAAAACAAATGAAATCTCATCGTTGGATAGGTCGTGCACTTTAACTAGAATGTATGTGATTAAACATAAACTTCAAATGGAATAAGTGAGATTAAACATGTTCGCTTCTGCACGATTCGACGATGAAGTCCGATTAAACATGCCCATAACTCTACGTGACAAATTGAAACAAATGATTGTATCGAATCAAATTGAGCTGGTATTGAACATGCTAACATGATCTTGTTTTTTTTTCAAGCCGTTTTTTAATCGCACAGTGTATAAAACAATGTTGGCTCTTCGTGCCGGAAACTGTGAAATGGTAAATTAAAAATAAATCAAACAGTTGAAGAAAAACGAGCGCGATTAAAAAATGCCATATGTAAAATGAAACTTCTTTTAATTGATTAATAACCATTAAAAAGAAACGGCCGATCATATGCGAATGTCATTAAATAGAATTACGAATCGAGCAAAAGAATTATTCTTCTTGAGACAATTGTCCACATTAAAACCCTGTTATTATTGAATATAAATTCGTAAGCACGTTAAATTCCGTTTTAATTCTGAATATTGTTGTGCGGCTCAGTTGAAATCTCGCGCAAATGTATTTGGCTCGAAACTCTACCAAGTTCCTTGATCGTCTGGTAAATATTGCGTATCGCGAAATGACAGTACGCAGATGACATTAATATGGGATAACCGCGTGAGGAATGGTGAAAAAAGACTGTATTCATATATCGATTACTGGGAAATCGATTCTCGACGTTTAGTATATTATGCATAGTCGTTCGCACGCTCGCTGTGAAGTATACTTCACCGTCGTAATACCCCACTTCTACGTCTGATCCCATTGATCGAAGATAATTACGGATTTCGTCCAGTCCTCGGTTCTTTTCCTTCGTTTTTTTAACATTTCATCGTTCCATCACTCTACGATTAAATGTCTGATATAGGTACAACCTCTTGGCGATAGAAAATATATTGAACAATGCTCCCTACTCGGACAAATGTATTAAACAATACTTTCCACTCATATAAATGTATTAAATAATACTCCCCATTCACGCAAATATATTAAACAATACTCGTCGTAATATCCCACTTTTACATCTCCTCGGTTCTTTTCCTTATTTTTTTTTAACATTTTATCGTTTCATCACTCTACGATTAAATGTCTATGGTATGGTGTATGGTATTTTTCGAAAATATGGATTGTGACGATTTAACATTTTCTTACCATTACCCAACGCGTACTGTTGAAGAAGATCCGTCATGTTGATATGCGTGATTCCTTTTGTTTCTTGCGTTAATGTATCACAATGGGTCACCTTTCCGCTGCCAGGACCCCCTGGGAACATAAAATATCATATTTTATTCATATCTCATTTTTTTGCTTTTGTAAGGCTAATTCATCTCATTTCGTTAAACGTCATCTTACGATAAACAATCAAGTGCAATGATTAAGAGCTCGTCTACATAACGCGCTTTCAAACACTAGTTTTAACCCTTTGAACACGGAGCCATTTCGACATACGGGCGAAATTCGTCTGACCGTGCAGGCAATATTCGACCAAACGTCGGGCGCCTTTAAGCGCTCTTAATAGCCAAAGGGTTAACCGTCATTTTTTCTCTATGAGAATATAAAACGGGCCGATTTTAACGGCTAGTTTTCTATATCCGCGAAAATAGAAGAACTTGGAGAGATTCATTGAGCTTTCTGGACGATTTAATATATCGTTATAATAGTTAACTCTTTGAACACGGAGCCCTTTCGACATACGGGCGAAATTCGTCTGACCGTGCAGGCAATATTCGACCAAACGTCGGGCGCCTTTAGGCCCTCTTAGTAGCCAAAGGGTTAAAACGCACTAAGTGAGCAGACCCTTAATATTAAATCCGAACCGTTTAGTAGAATTAAAAGACTCTTAAAAGAACTTAGAAATATATATATATATATATGCGATTATTATTAACGCTCACCAAGTACGAAAATGACGGGAACCTTTGGCGTTTCAAATTTGACCGGGCCGACGTTTTGCATCGGGAAATTTCCTTCTGGTGGCGTTGCCAAAAGTCCTGCTTCTCCTCGCCATTTTCCCGCACTTCGAGCATCCCCGTCGTCGTATACCTGCGATCCATCTTGTTGCTCTGCAATGACAAAAGTCCTCCACTATTTCAATCTGACATACGCGATACTTATACCCGGTTAAATCATCGATTACCTAATCGTAGGTTAAAGTTAACGTAATCGTACAATATATAAATTTACGATTTCTTGTAAATCTTACATTACATAAATTTACGATTTCTTGTAAATCGTACAGTATATAAATTTACAATTTCTTGTAAATCGTACAATACATAAATTTACGATTTCCTGTAAATCTTACAGTATATAAATTACGATTTCTTGTAAATCGTGCAATATATAAATTTACGATTTCTTGTAAATCTTACAGTATATAAATTTACGATTTCTTGTAAATCGTACAATATATAAATTTACGACTTGTATATCTTACAGTATATAAATTTACGATTTCTTGTAAATCGTACAATATATAAATTTACGACTTGTATATCTTACAGTATATAAATTACGATTTCTTGTAAATCGTACAGTATATAAATTTACAATTTCTTTTAAATCTTACAGTATATAAATTACGATTTCTTGTAAATCGTACAATATATATAAACAGCTGATAATCCAAGGTAGAAAATAAAATTGATTTATGTATTCGCTAATAAATTTCCGGCGTAAGTGGTTAATAACCGTTTGAAAGAAACTGCACACGGCATTGTTCTTTGGGTCACGAAGTCGTTCCCTCGTTCCCGATTACCGGAATCGATACTACTTGCTCCGATGCCCGAGGATCGATATTAATTGAGCTCGATGTACATGTTCACATACAGGTACAATGAACCAACTTTCCCATTTCGTAAAGTCCCTTGGAACTTTCGGTCATTAAACTACGGACAAATAAGATAATTGCAAATTGTTCCTTGACCCTCGGCACATTAAACTGTGTTCTAAAGTTCGTTTCATTTTTTAATTCAAGTTAAGGTGATATGAAAGAGTCCGCCTATATAAACATTGTTCATATTTATTCACGATTGTGCGATGATTAATAAAGTAAAGTATGATAAAGAATAATTATATTTTAGATTCTGTTTAATGAACTTAATTATTTCATGTTTTGTGTAATCGGAAGTATTTCAGGGGTACGAATAAAAAAAAAATGAAATCTCATTGTTGGATTGCACCAATGATTAACANGGATAAATGAACGAATTTTTCTTTAAAAATTATATTTCATAGTATCAAAACTATTCCGAGGGACACCATTTTCACGTGGTGAGGTTTCACACGTTTCGGTGGAGTTTTGAAAAAAATTCTATAAACAATTTGACGTTTCGAAGGCCTCCACTTTCCTATCATCTTAAAGATGACGTTTTAGGCATTCGTTTGTTTTTATGAAGAAGAATTATTTTTCGATAACTTTTTTTAATGAATGCCTGGTAAAGACAATTGCGTACTGGAGGTGTATGGTTAACAGGAATCTGAATATTTCCTCTTACATGTCATCGATGCAAATTATGTACTATAAGTAAAAATTATGTACGCGAGGCAGCCAATTTGCGATGCAATCGTCAATAGTCAATATAACGCTTATGCGTTCTTGTAGTATATAAAATTCATAAGAGTCTAGTTTAGTTCAAGGCGATGCGAAGTCGCAACTGTTGTCCTCTAAAATAGGTAACAAATGTCAATCTAATTTCTTATTTTTATTTTTTTTTTTTTTCAAGGTAAATCAATGACTTATCTGAAAACAGAAAAGAAGAATCCTGAATATAGCCATGGAAATCTAAGCGAAAAGAAGCATAATTATTTTCTGTTAATAATTTCGTTTTTTTTTTTAACGATGTAAAAGTACACGTATTGTTCAGCTAAAGCTATAACGCGTATAAATGTATATTTTTAAAACAAAGTAATATTTTGATAATTTAACATCAACGCTGTAATGGCATAAGGACATCAGAAAATGATTTGCGTAGAAATCGAGGGAGTGTTAATTAATGTTAGATTAACAATGGGAAGATTCCTCGACAAAATGGAAATAATTTAATATGTCTCAGCTTGACACCACTTATGTTGTAATCAATCTCAAGTATATTTTTCACTTTAATTTATTTTCCAACAGGCGATTGTTTATTTTTTTTCATTTTATATAAATGTTACGAAAGTCTTTCATATAATCCCCATGAGTTTGAAAATGATCTAACAATAGTTTAGGCAATATGCGTTACCTCATGGAGTCACTAGACTATGCATTGGCAATATCTATTAATGTCATATTTGTATTAATAACAATTTTTATTGGCATAGTGACGCACGCTACTGTAATTGCAACGTACATGAAAACATGTTTTCCTTTTAAGAAATCGCTCGAAGACGGATCGATTGCTTTCCACATCGCAATGTATGTGCTTCTTTAATTCCAGACTTCATTTATTGACTCGACATACATTATCCTAACATAACTTCGCTTTCCAAATGATCAATAATGGTTCTTCAATTAATATATCGTAATGTCTTATGATAAAATGAAAATGCCGCATGAAAAACACCCCTTCGTTAACCTTTTTAAACATCATCAATATTAATATTATAAAACAATGTCAAGTTGACAAGTACTTGATTCCCTAAGGAATTATATTAATTCATATTAATTCATCTTTTTTTTGTCTAATTCAATTCATCGGCGGAGTTCGAAGTTAGTTATTTGACGGATGAGCTTAATGACGTTATAGTTATTTTTATTTTATTTTTCATAATTAATATAATACATGGCCCGAAACCTTCGTACATTTATGTCTGTGTCAAAGGTGCAATTTACTTGTTAAGAAAAATAACGATTCTATGAAAGACATACGACTTTAGCGCACATAAAGTGTGACCACGTGACACGCTCCGACGCCATTTTGTTTCTCCTTCACATGCTAAGTAGGAAGATAAAACGTAATTTCTCTACCAAATTGCATTAAAAGTTGCAGATACTTTGACATGCTTTTTTTTATTAATAAAGACACTTAACGGAGGCTAGTATTTTATTTATCATTATATTTATCATTTACTATTACAGGCTAGACATACATTTTACATGTAACGTAACATACGTTACATAGATGTAAAATTGATATTACCATTTTCTACTCAGTATACAACACTAATATAAAATGAATAATGTTCTTCAAAATTTAGATGGAGAATTGTTGGATTTGAGGTCGTCTTAAATAATGAAGAACTAACGATATGGAATGAATTAGGGTGAAAATACTGACCAGTGTCCAGGCAAATGCCCATAGTAGGTCGTTCGACGAGCGGCGAGATCTTTTCACGGCCATTTACTCACATTCTTCGATCACCCCCTTTTAAAACCCTCGGGATTCTCCAGAACTTCCTACAGCCCTTTACATTCAAAGTAATCCCGGCGAATCACCCGCGGAACTTGTCCAACTTTCCCGTAAGTCACTTTAGATTAACCCTCTGGTAACTAAGAGCGCCTAAAGGCGTCCGACGTTTGGTCGAATATTGCCCGCACGGTCATGCGAATCTCGCCCATATGTCGAAATGGCTCCGTGTCCAAAGGGTTAAAGCCATTCCTTCCAGCGTCACATATCGTCGCGTATAATCTTCCAAGAGGCATTAACAAATATCTATTCCTTCCCAAAACGGAATTGAAGTGACAAAGAAAAATGTGCAATAAAAGTGCAAACTCTCCCACCAACTCAACGATTATTCCCCCGTCTATACAATGTAAATAATATTTCCCATCCGTTAATAATAAACTAAACGAAATCAGAGGAGGGTGTAGGTGATTAAAATAACCTTTCCTCGATTTGGAATTTTTCCCAAATGAAATTAAAACGATAAGATTTATAATCTCCCTAAGGCCCGTCGTACGCGTACTGCAAAATAGACGAGTGATATCGAAATTCCCCAAAGTAGTCTAGGAGTGATAAATCAGCCACGGGAATTCGCTCCACTCCGCGTCTCGGTTTTTCCGCCTCATTTTCGTTTCCGGATATTGTTTTTTTTTTATTTTTTTTTCACTGAGAGGCCGGCATTTTGACCTCCACTTTTGACTTTGTCTTACACGACCGCCACTTGACGCGTTTCGACGTCGGGACGCTCACCGACACACGTTTAATAGCGTCGGTTTGGATTTCGTCCGTTCGTTGCGTGAATTCTCCTCACTCTTTCGACTTTTCGAGTCGATTATCTATCGCGAGCGATTCGAGCTTTCGACTTTCCACGAGGCGATGCACCGAGCCCGGGCTTTTCGCAGCTTTTGATCGCGACGTGACTAACGCTTAACGTATAGGCACTTTCGTCGCCATGGAAACGCGCACGCGCCATGGAGTCGTGTGCGTACCCCCGTGACTGTGTGTCACTCCGGTCACGTGGTCGCGTCACGTGGTCGCGTCACGTGGTCGCGTCACGTGGTCGCGTCACGTGGTCGCGTCACGTGGTCGCGTCACGTGGTCGCGTCACGTGACAACTGAGAAAAGGGTTACTTGGGAAAGACCTATAGCGTCGTTTATTGACCGAAACTGTCAAAACTGACTTGTCAAGTTTGCGTAAAAGCATTCAAGACCGTTTCTGACTTTAAGGATATTGTTACTTTATGAAATGTTCATATGGGATTAGGGTAAAAATGGCCAGTAAACACGAAATGGTGGGAACACACGTTAAGAAATGATGTAAAACTGTTGAGAGTAATCGTGTTAAGTGTGTTGAATGAAATGTTTATTTCTTATATCGATTTGTGTTCGATTTTTATCAATAGTGACCTATTGTGCGACCTGGTACCGACGGAACCGCCTATCATTCAACTCTGTACATTGAAGGACCATTACCATTTGTACCGGATATCCGGAGCTGGCTTCGATATTCCTTCATTGGTAATACTTGAGACTTAGATTAATTATGGCAGCGACCTTTCGAAGGTTTGGCCTCCATTTAACTCTCGTTGACAATAGACGCGTATATTATCCCTACACTTCAAGGAGACCCAATATATATAATATAAAAATAGGTTTCGACGGTTCATAAATGATAAGTGCCATTTATAATAAATTAGTTAGTTAGTATTATTAATCGAAGGTTTGGCCTCCATTTAACTCTCGTTGACAATAGACGCGTATATACCTACACTTCAAGGAGACCTAATATAAATAATATAAAAATAGGTTTCGACGGTTGATAAATGATAAGTGCCATTTATAATAAATTACTCCCCTCGGTTTTATACTCCAAAGGGGGGCAATGTGTTCTTCGGTTGTCAAAGGATTCCTGAAAATTGACCCATTGTTAACGACATGCAAACAGGGTCTATCGACTGGCAGGAATAATTAATCAATCGTCGTCTTAGATCTATGGGAAAATTATACCTTTCCCGCTAAGCTATCCTTAGCTTGGTATGATAAGAAGTCCTTGGAAGTAGGCTAAGTGCTTATGTAGGTCTCAAAAATAAAAATCCTCCTATACAGGTCTGTGAAATGAAACCACTCCTTGCTCTAACAAGGAAGGTACCTGAGATGTCCCCCTCCGATTTTGTTCATTTTTAAATATGTTATAGAGGACTAAAATCTAAGGGATCCGTGTTTTTTTTTTTATCGGTGGATAAACACTTTTAGGGGGTGAAATCAGGCTTCAAGGTTGGCCGTGCAAGGGGGTGAATTGGCTGTCTCATATAAAAACTCTCGACCGATTTTCATGAAACAACCGTCAAAGTGTAGGGAATGAAGAATTATGAAACATGCATTTGGAATTTTTCGACAAAATTCTTATTTAACCCTCTGAACACGGGGCCATTTTGACATATGGGCGAAATTCGTCTGACCGTGCAGGCAATATTGGACCTGAAATCAGACTTCAAGGTTGGCCGTGCAAGGGGGTGAATTGGCTGTCTCATATAAAAGCTCTCGACCGATTTTCATGAAACAACCGTCAAAATGTAGAGAATGAAGAATTATGAAACATGCATTTGGAATTTTTCGACAAAATTCTTATTTAATCCTCTGAACACGGGGCCATTTTGACATATGGGCGAAATTCGTCTGACCGTGCAGACAATATTGGACCTGAAATCAGACTTCAAGGTTGGCCGTGCAAGGGGGTGAATTGGCTGTCTCATATAAAAGCTCTCGACCGATTTTCATGAAACAACCGTCAAAATGTAGGGAATGAAGAATTATGAAACATGCATTTGGAGTTTGTCGAAAAAAATTAATTTTTAAGGGGTGAGCCACCCTTTTGATTACATCTTTTACCCCTTACGCGAGCAGTAATTGCTCTATCCAAATGAAACTAGATTAATTTATAGACCAGAACAATACAAAAAAAGTTTCACTTTTCAAAGGGGTGGCTCACCCCTTAAAAATGAATTTTTGTCGAAAAATTCCAAATGCATGTTTCATAATTCTTCGTCAAAATGTAGGGAATGAAACTTTACAACGTGAATAAGGAGACTATAAGGAAGGTCCTGAAACTCATGAAATTTTAATTCTTTTCACAACACCTTAAGGTGAAGTGAAACACGTCGAGGAACTCGATCGACGTGTTTCACTTCACCTTAAGTCTTACGTCAAGAATCGCAATGTGTAAGTATCGACAAGAGTACTGAGACTTAAATAATTGAAAAGTGTAACCGTTCGGCAGCTGGTTACCTCCCATGTTTCTATGCATTGTCAAACGACAAGGCAACATGCATTGCAAACCTACCCTGCGAAAGAATGCATCTCAGTGCATTCGCCTTAAGGTGATATGAAAGAGCCTATATACATCTGAGAAGTCAAATCGTGGAGGAAATTATTCTCCTAATTGCGTGTGCCGATTCGTTTGAAATTTTACCACGGAAAAATGGAGGCCCTAAAGTAGGTCCTGAAACTTATGAAATTTCATTTTTAATGAAAAATGTATTTATTTTTTATTATGGACTAACACCAACATGGTGTGGCTCGGGCACGTTTTCAATGAATTGAAAATGAGAATGTGGAAGCCCTAATATTAATTTTTTAATAGTTGTTTAATAGTTAATAATAGTCGAAATTATTTAATAGTTCACATTACATGCCAAATTACATGAGAATGTAACCACGTCAGGTTACATTTATTGTGAACTGCAGTTTGGTACTCGGAATACTTATCGTTTGTAGGGCGCAATTTTCAACGAGTTTGAAAATGTATCAATAATTACTAAACAAAATTTCTTTGAGCCTTCCGACAGGTGTACGAATCGATTCTTCCACGCGCGACAAATGGCCTGACCTTGGAAGAAAGGTACACGTGTTTCATTAAATTTCTTAATATATTAATTAATTTTATATATCACTCGTCGTAATCTTATGAACAAGTATTTTGACTTTCAAGTGCTTCCACGTGTACCAAACTGACTTAGGTCAACTTTATCCGCAATACTATCAATACCTTAGCGATACAGTAAATGAATACCATTTTCAGGATATTAATATACCTATTTCATTTTTTAACTTCTTAAAATACAATTTATAAACGTTCTAGAGTTACTTTTGAATGTCTATAAAGAGTGCATTAGACTTCCGTTTATGTTAACACTGTTTCTCTTCATATATAAATAGTATGATGAGCTTATCAACAATTAATTAAATGTATAATCATTTTAACATTGTCATTATTATCTAAAATCGGTCGAAACAAGGCACTTTAATAAACTTTAAACCGAGTATTCATTTCCTGTACAGGTTCTTACAATGTCAAGAAAGACTCCCAATAATTCAGAGTTTGCAATTTATTTCTATAAAAAAATATATATTTACGTAAATAAGTTATCATTAAGTACAAAATTCCACGGCTTTAGTGCAGTACATTGTTGCGATTACTGTGAAGCGAAACGATGTGAGGCCATTGGTGAAAATATTCCAAATGACTTGATATGAACATGATTAGTGTAAAGACTTATACATATATACGGTACTATCTATACTAAACATATTTTCCGCGTATATCGACTAGGATAATAGAAAAAAGGCAGTCTTGTTAATTACCACAATTGTCTTCCCGACTCTGAATGTTGAACAACGCCGCCGGAAGAAATTAAATTTAAACAAAACTCGTCTGATGTTGCAAATTGTAAAGATGATCGCGATTTTGGTCGAACATCATTCCACACCAAGGAAAATGATTCACTGAACTCTCGTATCCGCTTCCGATATTATTATTGTTGTTGTTGTCGTCTTGGGGCGATTTCAAATATGGCCGCTCGACAGGTTTGTGCTTTACAAGTAACGTCACATCTTGATTTCGCCTGCACCACTGCCTCCATGATGAGAAATGAAATCTGAAGCCGGAAATGAAGAGCTGCCATGTTAATGTTGTCATAAACATTTTTACACCACTCAATAACATTCCTAGCGTAAATAAAGCGGTATTTCTTAAGCGAGGTGAGGATCATTCCGAAGAGCTTTCCATTCAAATAATTCCCGCATACAATAAATGCCCTGCATTAACGAATAACCTTTGTTGCGATGTTCGGTAAACATTTGTAAAGCACATAGTCAGAAGGTTTGTACATACAATGAATTTCAATTTGTACGCAATAATAAATGGGGTGTAAATAATCATTTTTACAGATATCATCCGTCTATGATTAGGATTTTACGGATCTATTGGTAAACATGATTGTCTTATTTCGTAATTTTATTCTATTTACTGATACACCTCATTTGCTGTAATTTCAACCATAAAGTGGATGACAAATTGACGTCATTGAGAACTGCAAAGATCTAAAAGAAACGCGACAATAAGGATTTCTCTTCTCGCCTTTGAGGAACAACTCGACGGTGGTTATAATGTTTAAGTAAAAAAAAAAAATAAATGTGTACCTCAGTGTGACGGTAAACCAGATGCAATAAGTTGCAACCAACATGCAGCAGAGTATAGCTAATCCAGTGCCTTCCCAGAAGCCTAACTTGCTGTATGCAGAGGCGCCAATGCCGCACAAATATGTCGCCATGATGCACAGTGGCGTCAACACCATCAAGCAAAGTAAATCTCCCGCTACTCCTTGAGGTCCATGTACTGATCTGGTATTCCACCATAGATAAAAGGACTAGAATTAAAAAAGAAAAACGTATTACTATACTATAATACGTTTTTTACTCCATTTTACTAAAGCGCTGTTTTCGTCTGTATGTGTGTATGTCACGAAACCAAGCGCACGTGATATATAAGAGGAGGCCCTAAACTCAGGAAATTTCATTTTTCATCGAGAATTTATTTACTTATCATGGACTGGAACCAACATGGCGGGGCCCGTTCACGTTTTCGCTGTTTTACGCTTCTTGGAGGCTTAGAATAAAAAATGAAGAGTTTCAGAACCTAGCTCGAACAATGTAGAATATCGTAGAAATGGAATATTACAGAGTTAGATGGGAAAATATGGGAAATACTTTCCCCGACGATTGCAAGAGAATGCTGGCTCGTCTCTTCGTTAACGCGGGTATTTAGAGGGAAAATTTAGTTGCTGCTAAACCTCACAGATGGCGACGTTGGTCGTAAAGTCGTTGGAATAATGAATTCCCGAGATTTCGACGGTTTTACGTCGATCTCTTCGTCGTTACTTTACCGAAATGACATAAGGAACTCTTCAGTTCGTATAATTATCAACGTGGACTGTAAAAGACTTAAACATAAATATAAATGTGGGTAACGCGACGCGCCAGCTTATGTTACCACTTGAGTACTCTAAATGACGTCACCACCGAAAAGGGTATAGATGAATTTTGATTTATCGACCTGGATTATATTTCTCAGCGCCTTTAATATCATCTTAAGTGTCTATTTACCTTTAACACCGGTTTGTTTTTTCTCTTGATCGAGTACGGGTATTTACATATCTCACAGTGATCCGTGTTAGATGTTGACAGCCACTTTTCCAAACAACTTGCGTGTATCAAGGCCAAAGTACCGGAACACTCGCAGGGATCTATTAGATCCTCCAAATTCCCATCTGCGGGAAAGAAATTCCACATATTTATCTAGGAAAAAATTATGTCATCGCATTAAAGGAATTCTTACGACGCTGGATTATATACGCCCTGAAAGCGTTTAATTATATAGCAACCTAATGTGTATTTTGGCTATATTCACTTTATACACATTTTATTCGACTGGGAATCATTGAAATGTTGTTAAACTACCTTCGTGGCAGATACGACAATTTATGGACGAAGTACTCCGCTTTTCCGGCGTCATGTTTCGCCGGAAACATGGCGACGGCGTTTCCACGTCTTCCGGTAAAACACTCTGCGTCGCTGTTGACGTTTTCGCGGTTTCCATCGTACTATTATTGCTACTCGTGGGAATTTCGAGCTGGAGACATTTATCGACCGAGTCTCCGGAGATCATTACGTGCTGTATACAGGATCAAACGTATTTAAGATGATATGAAAGGCGCTGAGAAATTTCATCCAGGTCGATAAATGAAAGTTCATCTATACCCTTTCTGGTGGTAACGTCATTTTGAATACTCAAGTGGGAACCTAAGATGGCGCGTCACTTTACCGACATTTATATTTATGTTGAATTCTTTTACAGTCTACGTTGAAAATTATGCGAAATGAAGCGTTTCATGTGCCTTTTTTAGTAAAGTAATGACGAAGAGATCGATGTAAAACTATCGAAATCCCAGGAATTCGTTATTCTAACGACTGTTTAGCGCCAACGTCGCCATCTGTGAGGTTTAGCTGCAACTAATTTTTCCTCTAAAAACACGTTAGCCCCAGACAAGCATTTAATCATTGGGTGCACATATCTCTTATACAACTCAGGTTAATCGAAGTTTAACTGATTTACAGCAGGTTGAACCGAGGGTAAGTTACTTACACTAAACTTCGGTTAACTTGAATTATAGAACCGAGCTTTAGTGTAATGATTTAACAAAATTTAACCTCGAAACTTGAATGTATGTTCCGCTTTGTTTTTATGTTATGATTTATGATACTTTTCGTTGACACAGCAAGAAAGTAACATGGGAAACGTTACGAAGTCGTAAACTAAACATTATATCTGCCCTTTTAGTTAATATTTAGAGATAAGTGAGTTTTATTTATATTGAAAATTGTTAGGTTATATAAGTGAGAGGAATTGTGAATGGCTATTAAACACTTTTGATACCTTACAAGGAATCATTTTTAGAATATGAGCATTGAGACCAATTCCAGCGATAAAGACTTTGAAGATGATGAGAGGGACAAGGATTTTAACGTAGAAGATTATCGAGATAACTCGGATGATTCTTCCGATGGCACGGTGGAGAAGGGTAAAGATGAAGAAGTAAGTTTTGTGTAATAATTTCGTTGTGAAGGAACTTTGAGTCTGAAATTATTACGACTTGGTAACATGGTTCAGAAATTTTTCTTTACGTTTGTATGTCGTCATTTTTTGGAATCCCTTAGAATATTATAAAATTCTCTGCAGTTTTTTTAAATGGAAAGACGTCTCAATTCGGAGAAATTTGTGAAATTCTTGAATCACTTTGTGATGATCTTTATTAGTTAAAAATGTATATTTTGTTTTGTCGATAAGAAAACAAAGGACGACGCAGAAAAAGAGTACGTTGGTCCGATTCTCCCTGGAGGTCATAGATTCGATAAAAAATTCCTGTGTATAAAATATCCCGGAAACGTGGAAAATCCAGAAAAAGCCATCGAAACTTTAGGAGGGATAACTACAATTTCTACAGTACGTAATATAATTATTAGTATCTTGTTAACATTTTAAAAACACTTCATTTTAGTATCGTTAATTAAAGTGTGATGTTTCATTAACGCACAGACTGTGAGTACACGCAATAGGAGATTGGAACTTCATTTTAGACCAGGTGATGGTTATTCCAAACCAGCCTGCGGCAATAGGCACGAGACGTCAGCTTTTCTGCTACGAGTTAGAATAAAGAAAAAGAGAGTAAAGAATATAGAAGAAGCTAAATTGAATGCTCGATCCAAAGTAGAGATATTGCAAGATATGAGAGATGATGTCGAACGAAATGATACAGCTGCTCTGCATCCAGAGCTTTATCCAGATATTTCATATAGAACAAAGTTCTTGGACACAGCTGAGGATAAGATTGACGAGGAATCTTTTGCAAAAGATCTTTTGAAAAAAGTTCGTAAGTGGAAGGTTGATGCACAAGATGAAAACGTAGAAACTGTTTTAAAAGCTGTGCCTGATGAATGGGATCCTGACTATGAAAAACCAAAAGGGGTTAGTAATTATAGGGAACGGTTTCATCAGAATATCATCGATGGAAAGTTTAGAGATGTAGAAAAGATGTCTCCAAACAATCCTAGTTTCGATGGCAGCCTTGAAGAAAGTGTAACAAACAGTAAGGGATCAAATTTAATTCCCGAAAGTCAGGAGTCCAATAGTAAATTAAAAAACAAAATGATTGTGAAATCTAATACATGCGATGGTGTGAAAAAAGACTGTAAGAAGGAAGACAAAATTAAAAAAGACATATTGTCTAATATCGAAAGAAATAAATTTGATGACTTGTCACAGGATGAGAGCTATGAGTTATTAAAGGCAAAGGTTTTAGGACGAGTTGATACAGAATTTCGATTCACAAGTAAGTCCCTTACTTCTTTATATTTGGTTAATAATCTTGTAAACAAGTTTTCTAAATAGTACGACACGAAGTTCAAACCCTTTGAAATAAAAACATGTCAAAGTGATAGTAAACACTGTGATAATTTGTTGGTTTAAAACTTATTCCAGGTCTCTGTGATTTTCAGTACTTACCGATTACCAAAAAATTCAATTCTAAGGAAAATGAGTGCATATATGAGAATCTATATCCAACAAATGTTCCAACATTCGATTGGTTGTTGAATGATGTTCCATATTTTCTGCCACCACCGGCTTTCAGTCGGATGGACAATGTTCAAAATTATGTGCCAAAGACAGAACCCGATGAAATCTTAAAAGACACTGTAATTGGAAAAACTAGAAAGCGCCGAGGAGGTTTTTCAAATTATATTCATTTCAACTCCGAGGAGGTTCCCAGAAAGCCACCGAAGGGCATCGAAACTGCTATGAAAGTGAAATTCATCCAGGAGCCTCACGTACAGAAGATGGTGGAGCTCTTCGAAGAAAGACCAATCTGGTCGAAGAATGCTATAATTTATATAACAAAGTTCTCCGAAGATCAGCTTAAAATTTTGCTACCAGTTGTTGCTTACTACTTTATGTCGGGTCCATGGAGAATCATGTGGGTTAAATTAGGTTACGATCCAAGAAAAGATCCTTCGGCTAGACAGTACCAGACTCTGGATTATCGGCTGAAAGCTATGCGTTAGTATATTTGCACGTTCTTTAAATAACTCAATATTTTACATTAATTCAGAAGAATGTTTCAAGTTTACAGTGTAATGTTTTTTTATTTTGTACGAATTATCAATGAGACTTAATTGAGTTATTTTATTTTTAATAGAAAGAGTAAAATACATATCCTTTCTTTTTTTCTTCAGACGGTCTCGCATCGAATGTTAAATGTAAGAGGGGCTACTCAAATTATATTTTACCATATAAATCTACTCCAATTACAAGACACAAAACCATGGTATTAACCAAAATTCAAGATCGAAGTCGAAAGAATGAAAGACGCATGCATGAAAATGTTTACATCTATCGAGAGGGTTATGTACCGCCTTCTCGTCAAATGTTTTATCAGGTAATTTTAGGAAACATTCCCACTTTTTTTGTCAAAGTAAGAACTTTTAGCATTTAAAACGAATTAAAAAAATATTCAGCTAATTCTACTCTTGTCTCAATCTGCACAATATAAATATTACTGGGATGGTGCAATCACTTTTTTTTTTTTTTTACTAGTATTGCGATGTTCTGGTAGATGAAATTCAGGAAATGTTAGCAAAACTTCCCGATCCAGCAACTACTGGGGTAGAATGTCATTCGAAGATGGGTTGGTTACCCAGTGGGTTCGATGATCAGTGTCGAGAGATCATCAATCGACATGTTCGAGCAGTTTTGAGGAAGCGCATGAATATTCCTGAGGATCGTGAGGAAACTTGCAATTTTTATTACTTCCTTGCTTCCAGCTTTTTCCTTTTTGTTATACTTTGATATCAACTCTTTGTTTTTTAGATCCTACTGCGTTACCTCGAAAGCAAAAGTATGGGGCCAGATTAACCACTGGGCGTTGTGTAAATAGAAAGAAAAAGAAGAGAAACTCTAAGGAGAGTCACGAAAATTCACAAACTGTGTCGATGGATTTTGAGGAGCGATCCGATGAAGATTGGGAAGATATCGATGATCCTGATTATCCCATCCCAAGTTCGAGTGTCAGTTAGTATTCGCTTTGTGGATAAAAATATCTTTAATGTTTAAGAAGAAACCTTACGGAGAGTCGTGATAATTCTCAAACTGTATCCATAAATATTGAGAAGCGATGAAGAGGTTTGAGTGATTATGACAAAGTCTTTCGATTATATATGAAGTTAAGATTTGAACACTGAAGCAATTTAAAATTGTACTAAACTAACATTTTAGATCGCTTTGTTTAAATGTATAACATGGGGGGTACATCTATGACAATGTTTATTTGAAAAAATGTACAGAGACGATGGGACCGAATTTCTATCAATAAATATGTATAAGTAACGTTAGGTAAATATCGATTACGGTAATTTACATATAATACGAAATACAGAAGTTATTAATAGATGTTCGTCTAAAACTGGGGAAAGGAATGCAGGACTCTAGGAAAGGACGTGTATCATATTTTGCCGATAACCTCGTTTCAATTTGTCCCATAGGTTGTAGATCAAAATTCTTCATCTTATCTCTTCTATTAATAAATCTTCGGATTGCCTTGATACTCATACATGTGATTGAGAATATAGTTTCAACGAAGTGACAATTGTTTAAATTTTCATTCACCTAACAAACACGATACCTTCACTTCGATGCAGTTCTTTACAGTTGTTATTGAAACTCAGTCATACAAGACAGACAACTATTAAATCAAACCTTGCGTAGGCAAAGATTCCACTGCGATACCACATTTACTACAAATTGTTTACAACTTCTAGGCAAGAAAGTGCCTCCGTTGCCTTAGATCATGATTCGAAGAGACGCAGGGAGATTCAATTGAGGTCTACAGCCTATGGACGGGGTTGAATCTATAAAAGGAATGGAGAACTCTATGAAGAGTCAGGAACCAGATCCCAGGACTGCGTGGAGGCTTAGAGACGGATGCCACGGTTGGTGCTGGCTACATAATTAAGAAGTTCCTCGGAATCTTCACAGATGAATGGCTTCTCGTGGTAGCAAGCTACATCGTGCCAAGCAATGCCATCGTTGTAGACGTTGTTAAGGACCGAAACACAAGATTCACTGGTGCCGTTAATGTCGAACTCAGCGTTGTCAGGTTGGCGAATCTTCTTGTGACCGGTTTGCGACCACGGGTTGTATCCCCATCCGCTTGGTATCTGGTTTGTCGGGGCCATCTTTTCGCGATTGGCCGACCAGAACCATCCATAAAGGGATTTCGGCTCGAGGTCGCGTCGGTTCTCGCAGCCCTTGAAGTCGCACAAGCGACCCGAGGTCCAGATGTACGGCACATCGTCTAGGAAAAAAGGAAGAGCTTCGTTAGATGTACAGTTAAGAGATACAAGGTGCTCGTGTATTACAATATTACTTAAATACAGTAAACTATCGTATAACGCGAATTCCTATAACGCACCAAAGATGTTACGATTGCTGTTTGCATATGATGCGATTCTTTGTACAACAAATAACAAAACACATTATGTGGATTATACGAGAAAAATGCCCGTACGGAAGGATTTCCTATAATGCGGATTCATTTAACGCGTAAGGTGTTAATCGCATTAGACGGGAGTTTACTGTACTGACGTTTTCTCGATGTAGGAGACAGAGTTTAAACCCGAATATAATTTAATCTAATCATCCTAAAGCGGCGCGTCTACTTGTTGCTATGGCGACAGCGTCACGTGAGCGGTTGCCATGGTAACGGCGTCACGTGAGTAGTACCGTAACAACGGCATCATGTCATTCTGAAACGTTGCTAGGCAACGTTTCGGAATCACATGTAAACATTTCTACAAAAAATGCCTCGAAATTTAGAAATTGAAGCGTTTTCTTGGCCAAAGCCGCGTAATTAATGTTTTTGCGAACTAGTTTGTATATTGTTCCTCCTTTGGCCGAGTATGGCGTTTTTCATTCACGGATGCCAAAAGCCTATTCCATCCCAAGAAAGTGAAAGGATTCGTCGGCATTAAATCTCGTGTCTGGACCTGGCAAGATCTGCGTATTCCTCTTAGTTAAAAAGTCGCATCTCGGAGTCTAATTAACGAGTCGTCGAAACCAACTCGAGGCTCCTAATTTTGAAAACTGGTCGGGGAAGCTTCGTCCTCATTGCTTATTCAACCGAGATTCGTCCATCCGGGATTAAGAAACGCCGAAGTGGAATCGGGAGTCGAGAAATCCGGTCTCCTGTCTTGACTTTTACCCAAAGCGTTTAACGATGACAGGACGAGGTCGCTTTAGGTGTCCTTGGGAATATTTTTGGCGTTTCGGAGTATTTCTAACCCTTTGAAATCTTCCAAACTAAGACTGAGAAACATCTCGGGGATCGACCTAATTCGGAATTCGGTATTAGTCGTTTAATCAGGCCTCTTAGAAATCCTATTAGAAACAGGCTAAGCCTCTTTTCACCGTTGACATATATTCTTTTTTCTCTCTTTTTTTTTCCCCCTAAAGGAGCAATCATAAATATTAATTTATCTGAATTAATCAGCTGTCACACGTATTATTAACATATAATTAAAAATGACGGTAACGAAGAGTCTCTTTTCACCCACGGTTTAATCGCCTACACGTTTCTCCCTGATTTTGGAACGATATTTAAAACCTGAGAGAGCAGTTTTAATTGCAATCAAATGGGGACGAATATTCGACCTTGACGAGAGAAATGATTATTTATTGGTATTGCATTATTTCATTCGTATGGAATGTTTACAGTTGAAACGTGTATCTAATCGCGTCGTAGATTTAAATCCACGTTTGACAGATCGTAAGGAATAGTTGATAACATCGGTAAGTGGTGATAAGATTATGGGTGTTCGTATATGCTAAGTAGTTCGACACCTTTGACACGAAAGAACGCGATTGGTCGTTTCACGTAGCTACGTAGAACCAACCAATGACGCAAATTCTAGGTTAAGGTGAAGTGAAACACGTCGAGGAACTTGATCGACGTCGATAAAGAAGATTTTTCTAAATGCCTACGTACCCGGCGTTCGTTTTTATATTGACAGCTGGGTCGAATTATATTGGGTATTGTACCAAATGGCATACTTCACCTGTCGTTTTCGTACAATAAATATCAAGAAATCGAAGTAAAACTCCAGAAATCCTCTGGATTCATGCTTTCTGGGGCCCTAATTGACTGCAGAGGGACCCCCTGCGCCATCTGTGATTTCCAGGTCAATTAAATTTTCACTCCGAGACCTCGTATTCCCATCGTTTTGGCATAGAAGCGCATACAACACTTTTTTTGCCTTTATCCCGTTCAAATGCGAGTTTATCGATTACCAGAGTGTTCTAAATTGTCGTAAAATTGTCCTGACCCTTTTGATTCTCATATCAGAGCCTTCCATAATTGTATATCGATCGAAATATGAGAGCTCGACGCCATTTTGGTTCTGGTTTGGCTGAGTTAAACAATTTTTTTAAAAAATCCAAATTTTGAATATGTCAGGACAATTCTTAGATGATCAGGGATGTGTCAAAGTTTCGGACAGTTTGGTCTAATACCCTTAAAAAAAAGTGTTGTATTCGAATCGACTGATTTGAAGGGAGTTTCACTTCACCTTAAGTCACGGTATACCTTAGATGATATTACCATTAGCGTAGTAACTCGATATACCGGCTCCCGTTTGCACCAAGACCTCTCGCAGAAGTTAGCGATCGTAATGGTGGGTGACGCTCCAAGGTGACGCGAGGATACTTTAAGTGGGTTGAGGTTAGAGAGCCGCATCTTTTTTATGTAACGGCGCCGACTATACGGGAATTAATCTCTATCTCTTTCACCGTACTGAAGGATTCGAGATACCAAGGTGAGAGGAATTTTGAATCGCCCGCCCAGACAGAGCTTGAGCCTTCGAATCTGATTGGTCGACGGAAGCGCCATCTTGCCAATATGGCGCCCGATCCAGTTTTAGTGTAAACCTTTTAAGGTGAAGTGAAACCCCCTCAGATCAATTGTTTGCCGTCAATAATTCACTTCGTCGTCAATATTAATCGTCAATAAGACACTTTTTTTTAAAGGGTATTGGATAGAATCCGTATTTGTCCTGGTGTAGAAAGTGAGGACTCTGGAGCGTTTCATTGTGAAGTCATCGGACTTTGCACTTCCTACCTCATTGTACTTCGTACAGGAAACGCGAGCATGGCTTGCAGTACCTTGTAATCAATGAAATGACTTTCAACTCACCGCACGTCTTTTCTATTATTACGGAAATTAAAATGCCTTTCTGGCATCGTACTAATGCTGGTCAGGTTAACAATAGATTGTTCTTTCTACCTTCCTTCCGTTCTTGCGAACGGGCAGCCATCCATTTTTTTTACCACGTTGTCCATTTTTTTTTTCTCTGTCACTTTGTTAGGATTGACGGATAAGAGACGGCGGACGATCATTTCGATTATATTTCCTCGATTCTACATTTAAATGGAAATTTATTTCCTACTTAGTGATAGGAAAAATACCAGTTCAGTCAATTTAACGAGATCGATCTACCATTAATATTCTTGACTTTTAGTAACTTATTCACTGTCTAATCTCAGGCTTCCTGGATTTCTTTTTAATGTTCCGTTTTGTCTATTCTTTTGTGCCCCTTTCCGGGTTGGATCATAACAGGATCCATTTTTTGTTTTTTTTTTTCAGTCATAACGGGTTCTTCATTGCTACAGATCTTGTTGGACTTGATAAGAAATGTTAAAAGATGTTAAACGAAATATTGGTGAAAATCTCAATGACATAGTTTCAACAATTTATAAACATATATAGAAATTATATTTTTTAACTTATTAACATAATAAAACTACATTTTTTTACTTCACGACTATTATCGGACACTTAATTTGGTATTAAAAAACACGAGAGATTTTTCTAACATTTTCGTTCCTCTATTTCATTATGGGAGCAAGACGCGTGATTTTGATTTTAAATATTTTTAAAACGTTTACAATGCATTCGGCAGATAATATTAAAAAAGATACTTGTATTAAAATGAAACGAAACGTTTTGTACATCTGGTAGAAAAATATTATGAAAACACGTGGAGGTAATATTATATAAATATTATAGAGATAATATTCTAAAGTAAACGTTTGGCTAATATTTCCAATGTCTGGTAAATATTAAGAAAATGTACGATATAAGTTGAGTGTATTGAAAATGTTGGAGAAATATTTTGTGCTACTAGGGTAGATATGTTGATTAGTCACAGTTGAACTTACTTTGCTGGATCACCCTGAAGATCAGGTTGTTCTCTTCTTGAGTCTCCAGGGATACCAGATCCATGCAGTACTCTCTACAAACGTTCCTGGCGTCCAACCAATCTACCTTTTGACTGGCATGAGCAGGAACATGGCTGCTGAGGAAGTAATTGTGGCCTTTATAGTTGAATTCCTTTGGTCCTGGAAGAAATAATCAAAACATGTAGTACAGTAATTCCTCCTACAACACGGCATCCTATAACACGATTTCGCTCTAACACTATAAAAAAAAATTGCTGAAACCTCCTACAGCACTCGATAACATGATTTTTCTTTAACATATTTAAAAACTAAATTACCTTAAAATAATAGCGGGAGGGAATAACAAACTATAGTGCCTTTACATGAAAGCAATGTTTCTTGTTTTTTTTCTCTCTCTTCGTTTTGCGTTATACATACATTTATATTTTTAATAGAAATTAAGTTGCTTATATGGAATTAAAAAAGAATTATTAATCATCTATGCTCTGTCGCAGCGTGGTATATTGTGAAAATAGAGATAATCTAATTTTTTATTCTAACCTATGCTATGGCGTTTCACGTATACACGTGACTCCATATGTATACAACGTATGTAAGTGCATATTTGGCGCGAGACTCTACCGAGTTTCGACACTTTTCTAGGGGATAGGAAGATTCGAGTAAATTGCCGGTGCTCGATTCGGCTTATTTTTTTATCACGTAATCGGCTTGTCTGGCCAGTTCCATCGGCAAGAAAAATGCCGACGATTATGTAGCCGACATAGATCGCAAAGGTGTTAGAGAAGGATCTGTAATTGCCTCGCGCGTCATTATCGCTCTTAAATGTCAACGGTCGGCGTCGTGTAGCACCAGCTCGCGTACGTACGCATGCGCGAGGGCTCGCAATTTACGACTAGCGTCCCATTACGAAAAGTCCGACGCCATCTTGGGAAATCAGATAGAGATTTGAGGTGAACCTTAAGATGTGCTTTATAATGCGATATTTAATGCTTTCTTGTACTTTTTGTCGCACCGAGGTAAGCAGATGGATTGATAAGGATATATCCTAGCCAGATTGTAAATTCCGACTTTTTGTATAGTTGTTTTTTTTTTAAACGACTAGCGTCCCATTACGAGAAGTCCGACGCCATCTTGGGAAATCAGACAGAGGTTTGAGGTGAACCTTAAGATATGCTTTATAATGCGATATTTAATGCTTTCCTGTACTTTTTGTCCCACCGAGGTAAGCAGATGGTTTGATAAGGATATATTCTAGCCAGATTGTATATTCCGGCTTTTTGTCTAGTTGTTTTTTTAAAACGACTAGCGTTCCATTACGAGAAGTCCGACGCCATCTTGGGAAATCAGACAAAGATTTGAGGTGAATCTTAGATGTGCTTTATAATGCGATATTTAATGCTTTCTTGTACTTTTTGCCGTACCGAGGTAAGCAGATGGTTTGGTAAGGATATATCCTAGCCAGATTGTAAATTCCGACTTTTTGTCTAGTTGTTTTTCTTAAAACGACTACCGTCCCATTACGAGAAGTCCGAGAAGAAGTTTCAAACTATTCGGTACATCGATTTGGAAGAAAAAATATTATAAACAAAACCTCTTCGACGCGACTTTCACATCACCTTAAGGTGGCATCCGAAAGCTCAATCGTTCAGAAAACTTTTCTACGACCTGGATATCTGAAATCGTTTCATATTTTAAAACGTGAATACGAAGACCCTAAGGTAGGTCCTGAAACTGGGGAAATTACATTTTTTATCAATTATTTTCAAAATACCTATAAAGGAATTTGAAAAGAATTGAGATTTCATGGGTTTCAGGACCATCCTTATAGTCTCCCCATTCACGTTGTAAAGTTTCAGACCATTCGGTAAACCGAGTTGGGAGAAAAGTTTTATAAACAAAACCTCTTCGACGCGACTTTCACATCACCTTAAAACGAGCGTCCTCTTGCGAAACTACCGTCGCGCCATCTTGCGAAGTCCGTTCGAGATTTGAGGTAGGTCTGACGCGTGCCCAATGATTTACGGTTTTATGGTTTGCCATTGCAGTCGCGGATTCATGATTGACGGCTTCCGAAGAGTCCCCTCTGCCTTAAGGTTGGGTAGTTAATGACTAGCAGGAACAACAACTTACACGTATGAAATATTTTACACGCCGCGTAACCTTATTAGGAGAAGAAAGCTGTAGAAAGACGGCTCGGCGAGATTGCGGTATATTGTTTAAAGGTTGAAATATATCCTTGTAGAGCCAGCCAAGTGAATAAATATCTTAAGGCTCTATTACACCATCGTCTCGTTTAAAAACGAGCGGCAAGATTTTCCCTCGTAAATCGAATCTTCTTCACTTCGTAAGAGACCTACGTTGTAATCAATGTCAACTCAGGCTTAAACCACCGACGTATGTACTTCTGATATATGTATGCAAATCTAGGAGACAATAACTATTTATATGCCAGTAGCGTCGTCCTATGTGAAATTAGAAATTCCTGGGCGAGATGTGAAAGATGCCGGACTTTTCCTAAGGAGAGTTAATAATATTAAGTTAACAGCGGATCTTTATACTTTACTACTGAACTCGGTAGAGTTCCGCCCCAAGTATGCACAGAGAGGTAAATCAAATGGTATCTAATTTTGTTTTTTTTTCCTGACGAATGCATTCTCACATTATGGAATTTCATATTCTTTGTAATCTTATGCTGGGATGTCGTGATTTATTTCGTCGCATAAGTAACTAAGAAAACCAATTTTATTATAGCCAGACGTATTAATCATCTGAAGATTATTAACATATGCATCGGTAGGAAGATTTAAACAATACGTATACGTAATGTTATTTCTTATTATAGCAGGATTAAGGTGAAGTGAAACACGTCGAGGAACTTGATCGACGTCGATAAAGAAGATTTATCTAAATGCCTACCTAGCCGACGTTCGTTTTTATATCGACAGCTGGGTCGAATTATATTGGGTATTGTACCAAACGGCATACTCCACCTGTTGTTTTCGTACAATAATTATAAAGAAATCGAAGTAAATCTCCAGAAATCCTCTGGATTCGTGCTTTCTGGGGCCCTAATTGACTGCAGAGGGACCCCCTGCGCCATCTGTGATTTCCAAGACAATTAAATTTTCACGCCAAGACCTCGTATTCCCATCGTTTTAGCATAGAAGCGCATACAACACTTTTTTTTGCCTTTGTCCCGTTCAAATGCGAGTTTATCGGTTACCAGAGTGTTCTAAATTGTCGTAAAATGTCGTGAAAAACGTCGAAAATCGTGAAATTACCCAACCCTGCAACTGGCGGTGTCGGATCTAACGGAAAAAGAGGACGAACCGGCGGGTTTCGCAATACCTCCTCGTGACATTTTCGAGGTGAGCAGGCGAACGGCCTTTTGTGAAGCTATCGCGTGAAGTCGCGCTAGACGGACGGACGTGTACGGACCTGTTGCGTCAGCCGATTGGCCGGTCGGTGTACCACGTGACTTGTCCATTCTCGAGCACCACGGCAAACGGATTCGCGACAACCAGCCATTACCAGTACGCCTATTAATAGGTATGTACAATAGAATCCGTTTCGCGACGGTATTCAAGGTCTTCGCTTTCCTCGGATTTTGCTAATCTCGCGATCGTTACCTGCAACTGGAAAGGGAGGATCGCGAGTCCCATGCGAATGCGGATCCGCCATCTTGGATTTCCTAAGGTTCCCTCGACTGACTTTTCAGGCCGGATTTAGCCAATTGCAAGCTACTCTACAATGGTAATGGCCAGTCGAACATATTCGGGGAAATTTAGGCGGCAATATTTAAATGTTTCGTTCTTTTCTACGAGGTACGTGATGTTAGATTTACAAAACGGATGGAGGAATCTGGTTAGATGATTATAACCATGAAGTAGTTTGAGGAGATATAACCGCAGACGATTATTTTTAGTTGCAAAGTTTCATCGAGGAGGCGCTCTTGATACCAGATTAAAAAAATATATATGTGCCCATAATGATGAAAGTGACTAAGTAAAAATTAAAAAAAAAATGAGTTTATCAGATATTCCACGCCATATTATTTCAAACGAAATTAATTCAATGTAATTTCGAAACAAAAAATATATGACTTAGACCACTTTCATAATTATGGGCACATATATGAAGATCTTGGATCCCTAAAATGCGAACGATTACAATAAATGCCGTATGTCCTTATACTACTTCATTATTTCAGCCTTATAAGGGACTCTTTTGGCCAGGTTTCCTATCCTTATCCGTAAATCTAAGTCTCAGAAAAGATATATATATATATCTTTTCTGATATATATATATATATCTTTTCTGATATAATAACCTTAAAAAGTTTCAAAACACTCCTAAATATATATATTTAGGAGTGCTTTGACACTTTTTAAGGTTATTATCGGAATAGATCATGATAGTAGTTTCGCAATTTTATAGGATTGTAGAATCGGGGTTGATCCGAACTGGGTCGTTGCACCATCTTGACTTCAACTCCCACGATCTATCCGATCTCTCAGAGCCATGAAATACCGTGGAAATGCGTTCGTTTCGAAATTTTCTCATTACCCAGTGAAAGGTTAGAAAGTGAAGAAAAGGACTATTAGACTTCTAGGGAGGAAATTTTCCCTAGATGTCTAATGAATTCTAGAGCTGTGCCATCCCCTAAGTATGAATTTGATCAATTGTAAAAAAACACATTTCTCTTATTTTCTTATCCTGTATAAAATACTTAAAAATGAATCAATTCGAAGATGAACATCTAGGAAACTCTTTTCGTGATAACCTCATACTGACATTCAGGACGAAAAAGGGATATCGTCATTTGTATCCTCTCGGTGGGTATTAAAAACTATTCAAATCTGCCCAGATTATTTTCATAAAATTAGTGTAAACGTAGATGTGGATCTAACGTGACATCTTATCGAAAAAAGAACTTATCTAAATATTCCTGTAAATTTATATGCAGAACTTTCATTGATAAGAACGCACACGTAAGATAGGAGTAAACGACTCGAGGGGAGTTAGAATGCAGCGGCACGTCTTGGCAGAGTGCAGTGGCACCGTGACGAAAGAGCTTATATAACCGATGCAGATGCAGCTGCGATTGATGCAACCGGCTTGGGCGCCGAGGTTGAACTCCGGGATGAGCGGCGCAAGAG